AATGATTTATATAAACGTTTGCTGTAAGATCCTGAAAACAATTTACTTAAAACGAGTTACAAAAGCTCCAAAGCTGAAGCGGAGAAGTTGATAATTAACACAAAAAGAGCTTATGCGAAGTTAAAACAGTTATACGACAGCTGAAGTTGAAGGAAGCGTCTGGGTTCGATGACAAATATTTGTTCAGAAAATATAGCTTTATTATTGGGTAGTAGAGGCTCTAATTCAAGGAAAAAAGTTTATATAAGCGTATGTCTGGAATTGCCCCGCCTATAATAACTTCAAATCGCTTAGAAACCGTGCTCTTAACATGATCAGGAGGGACAAAAAGACATATATCGAAAATTTGGCAAATGAAAATGATTCAAAAAAATGGTGGAAGTCTCTCAAACAACTTGATATAAATTTTCGTAGTAAACCAACGCTTCCGGCAAGTTTTAATGACCCTACCAAAATTAATGATTATTTTATGTCTGTTTATAGCTGTAAACCTGTTGATTCACTAGTTTGCGAAAACTATTTCAAAAATAAATTGAGCTCTGAATATATTTTTTCATTGAATAAGATTAGTTCAAATGACGTATTACAGGCAATAGGGAGCCTAAAATCTGATGCGAAGGGAATTGATGGTATATCCCTGTCAATGATCCAGCTTTGCCTGCCAGTTATTCTCCATCACATCGTCCACATCTTTAACGACTGTTTGGAAAAAGGCTACTTTCCAAACACATGGAAACAAGCTCTAATTATTCCAATTCCTAAAAAAATGAAACCCACTGAGTATAATGATCTCAGACCTATCAGTTTATTACCAATTTTATCCAAAATTTTAGAAAAAATTATTAAGTTCCAATTACCCGCTTACCTAGAAAAATTCTTTATACTCCCGACACTCAATCCGGATTTAGAAAAAATTATAGTACAACATCTGCCCTACTTAATCTGCAAGACAATATTTTAAGTGCCTTAGATAAGAAAATGGCACTAGCCTTAATCTCTATAGACCATTCGAAAGCCTTGGACAGCCTCAATCATAAATTATTACTTGCGAAATTAAATTACATAGGTCTTGACAGTGTATCCCTTTCATTTTTCGACAGTTACCTTCATCAAAGAACTCAGTGTGTTTTTCTCAACCAAGAAATGTCTCAAGTGACAATAATTCCCTCAGGCGTACCTCAAGGCTCTGTATTGGGACCACTTCTATTCCTCATATATACGTTCGACTTAAGCAAAAGTATTGATAATTCTCATGTTCAGTCATTTGCAGACGAAACGCAATTGCTTCATTATTTTAACCCAGATAATGTCAATAATACTACACAAATTTTACAAAACGATGTTAATAAATTAATTAAATACTCTTTAGATCACAATCTACTTATTAATCCACAAAAATCTAAAATGTTATTATTTTGCGCACAAAGAAAAACATACAATGTAACACAGCTCTTGAACATTCAGATAAATAACCAAATCTTGCAATTTTCTGATTCTGCAAAAATTCTTGGTGTTGTTTTTGATACAAAATTAAAGTTTATTGAACATGTTAAAAGTCTATCTCAGAAAACCTACCTACGGCTGCGCACTCTTATAGCAAACAGGTATTTACCTACTAAATTTTAAGATGCAAAAAAAGCTATGTGAAGCATTGGTCATATCTATACTAAATTATTGTAATATCGTATACTATACTTGTTTAGACAATTTCACTAAAAACGTTATTCAAGTTATTCAAAACAATTTTGTATACGATTCATTTTTGGCTTACGTAAATTTGATCATGTATCGTTGAATATCCCGTTCTAAACTGGTTAAAAATTAATGACATGGTCAAGTATCACTATTCAGTTTTTGTTCACAAATTGCTGCTCACGTCTAAACCTTATTACTTGAAGGAAAAAATTTCATTTAATAATGATGTTCACTGTAGAACTCTCAGAGAAAATAACATTAGAATACTCCTGCATACGTCTACACTTTTTAAACGCAGTTTTTCTTACAATGTTGCTATTATTTATAATGACCTTCCTAAAGTATATAAAGAATTTTCGTTACCTGTCTTTCGACAAAAAGTTAAAACATTATTACTCAACCCTCCAAACATATAATTTACGTAATCATTCATTTCTTTTTTATTCATTTATCTTTAATTCAGATTAATAATTTCTTGGTGCATTTGGGTTTGGAAAGTATGCCTTTTTCTCTTTTTTTTAAATTTTACTTTCGATGTAATGAACCAAATCTGTTTGTGGATAGTGTATTCTTTTGAACATCTGCTAGAGACTATATGGTTAAGTGTAAGAGTAGCAGCATGCTAAACTTCGCCATATAAGTCTGACATTTGGCTATACTACAATGTAATTGTGGATAAATAAAGACGTCTATTATTATTAAAGTCTCAAAGAGTCAAAGTTTTCTGTTTCATTTCTCGTTTTCTTTTTCGAAAAACTTTAGATTACTTACTTTTGCTAAAAGAACTCAAGTACAGCGATTAAAGAAACACATCTTATTATACATCTAAGAATTGTCATATAGGTCATCAGATTTGATGTTTTTAATTGTCAAATCAAGTGGAACTTGTCACCCTATATCAGGAGAGTGAAGTATTTTCGAACCCACGTTCATATGAACTTATTTTCTTTAACTCAGCCAAGAAATCGCCCCTTGAACTTTGTATGAAGATCAATTTGAAAATCTCGCCCTTTTTACAACCTAACCTGCCATCTACTGTTTGTTCTTACACCTTTGCACACATCTTTCGTGTCATTTGTCTACAGCTTTCTGTAACGCTTTAGTTCGGAACTTATTGTCAGGCACAACAGATAGCTTATGTCCAGTGCCTCTTCTCACTTAGACACTTTCTTGTCTATTGTTGATCTATGGTTGATCCCGAACAGTGCAAGAAAGCGAAAAAATGGCTTCTAGTATATTGACTCATGCAATTCTGCTGGTTTCAGTCTGGTTTATTTCCCACTATGAGTAAAAAATCCACCAAACAATTACATTGACAAGTTGGCTACAGAATGACTCATGACAATATAATCAACGCATTTATTTAAAATAGATAAAAAATATTTTTTAAATCACAGTAAGATAATTCTGCAACGGCAATACCTCTTGTACGCCATACAGCATTAGACGCCAGTCATTGGACTTCTCCGAGCTGTAGTATAGATTTTTATAAAAACACTTTTTTTACAAAAAAAACTGCAATAGAAACAAAAATTCAAGATACTTTGAATTGGAATTTATTGAACCTTTATAACCTGTTATTTGTCACAGAGTTAGAAGTCAGTGTCGTGCGAATAGAGGTGATCAAGGTAAACAGTAAATTGTCAGATTTTTACTGGTCTTATGGCAATAACTTGAACATTCCTTCTCCAATTTTTGTGTTCAAAAAATCAAATTTTTGGGTGCTTCAGGGCTTAGAAAGGGGATAAGGTTTATTTTATTAGCGATAGAGTACCCTGATTCCTAACATTTTTCCTGGCACGACGCGTATCATAATAATTCGTCACATCCTTTCACAATATATACTAAGTGACATATAAATCCGAACACCCAGTTTAAATGGTTTTATTTTAATAAAATTTTGTATAAGTACTTAATGAAGCATAATCAGTAAATGATAAAAATTTCAAAATGATTGCACTGCTTTAAAGCCCTTTGACCTTTAATAATGTGTGGATGCACCCTGATGTGCTACGCATTCTCCAACGCGCCTAGGCATGCTTCTGATCAGGTGGTCAATGTCCTCCTGTGGTATCTCATTCCAGGCTACCACCAACTCCTCTCGAAGTGCTTCTAGAGTCTGAGGAGGACGTTAACAATTGAGCAATCTCCTACCCGTCATATCCCACACGTGCTCAATTGGGGATAAGTTGGGAGATCTTGGTGGCCATGGTAACAATGTGACATCATTATATTGAAAGAAGTCTATTGTGACTCTTGCAACATGTGGTCGGGCATTATCTGGTTGGAAAGTTGGATCTGCCAGGGTGTCAAGACAGGGTAAAAGATGGGGTTCTAGAACGTCGTGGATATAATGCTGCGCGTTCATGTTACCTCTGATGAAGATTAAAGGTGACCTGGAACCATAAGCTATAGCACCCCAAACCATAACTCCAACAGTGTGATGAACATGTCTTTCAACAAAAAACTGTAGATTCCTCCTTTCACCACGTCGCCTTCTAACCCTGGCACGACCATCGTGCATGCCTAAACAAAATCGAGACTCGTCACTAAAGACAATACTGGTCCATTCCTGATCCGTTGTCTGCACCACTCAAGGCGATTACGTCGGTGTTCTCGAGTTAAAGGGAGGACCCAGTGTGGTCGGTATGAAAACAAGCCATAATTTCTCATTCGTCGGTAAACACTTCGCATGCCAATAGGTCTTCCGTGTTCTGCAAACCATTCATTTGCAATGGACCTGGTAGTGGAGAAACGGTCCCTTAAGGCCAATAATCTTAGTCGGCGATCTTCACGGTCTGTTGTTCTACGGCGGCGTCCAGTGCCCCTTGCTCTTTGCGTACGGCCTGACAATACCTAACCACAGTGTCTACACTTCTTTGCACTCTAACTGCAATTGCCCGAAAAGAAAGTCCAGCTTCCCGAAGTCCCACTATACGGCCCCTATCAAACTCACTAAGTTGACGAAATCGTACAGGTCTCCGTACTCTAGGCATCGTAACCGATCGTAAAGGATGTCAAGAACCAAAATCCGCCAACGTTGCTTCTTTACTGCGGCTGAAATATTCATTTTTAGAGCGTTAGTGAATTAAAAAAAGCAGTATAAAAACCGGAATGTCCAACTGATAAGGCTGAAAATTTTTTCACTTGTTATTTACAGCAAGATAAATACATTCACCAACTTTCTCCAGGAACTCAGTACAATTTTCGATAGATTGCCTGGATCAAAATTTTATATTTGCATAATATGTTTATCCAATATCACTTCGGTATCTATAATCTGTTATTGTATGATATTGATATGAGCCGTATTATATTATAAACATCATATGCTAGTTTTAATGAACTGGGTAACCACAATTGACCAACATGTATTGCTTCCTAACAATTTTTGCCCTGATATCTCTCAAAGAAGCTGATAATCTTCGTTTAGGGGTAAGTACTGAAAGTAATAACTTCAAAATATTAGCGACTTGAGTATGATGATAATTGAACTACTTCACATTCTTATATTTGATAGAAATCAACAACCTAAAGCAGATCACTAGACTGTATAGGCTGCAAATTGCAGTGAGATGCAAAACTTTGCTAGTAAGTGCTCAAATTCATTTTTGAACTGTTAGCGAGTATGTCTCCTCCTCGTCCTCTTTAGTGGAAACTAGTAAAAACAAACAATATACAGGGTGTAAACGATACGTTAGTCATTATTGAAATGGGTCAATCATGGGGGTCAAAACAGGTCAAAAAGTTCATGTGACCCATGGTCCAAAGGTCAATAGATTTTTGTCTAAATGGCTTTATTGCTTACAACTTTTAAGTACCTTATATCATATTACTAATATTTATAATCTAATCTAAAACGTTTTTAAATTGGGTAATTAACAAATAAATGGCATTAAGTTTTTCTAAGTTAAAATTTGTAGTCAGTAAGTAAGTTCCATTAAATTATATATTTAAAACACACATGACAACAGCGCGTCGGCCTTTCATCACTCTTATCGAACCGGCAATCGATCGCAAACGGTAACAGTGGTTAGTTATCGTTTTGCATAGATAAATTACTGTATGGTTTTCTTAAGGGAGAGAAAAGACCTGGGTGAGAAACAGAGACACTGTGACCAAACAAAGGCGATTTTAGAAGTTGGTATGTATATAGCGCCTACTAAGAATACGACGCCGAAGTAATCATACCTTTTATACCATGTGTTATTATATTTAATTTCCACAGGATGGATCAAGTGGAATTCTGGCAAATACTAAGTATGGGACTATTAGTGGAAAGGTTTTCAGTACTCCAAGCGCAAAAGAGTTTTATGCATTTTTAGATATCCCATATGCAAGTCCTCCTATAGGAAAGCTACGATTCCAGGTTTGTGGTAATTGATATTGCATATATATCATTTATCTGTAAACGCTAAATGAGAAATTGTTCAATTCCTAGGCTAAATGTAAAATTGTCTCTGGTCTTTATACGCATACGATATAAGTTACGGTATCACGATTTGTGCTATTTAATTATTCAATCAAGCAACTGGACATTGCCCATGAAAAATAAAATCGTCTTAGCTGTAGGAGTTAGGAAATATTAATTTTTGACGCGGTATAAGCATGCTGATATCTGAGTATAATCATGGACTGTGTCTCCTTGCATGAGGTTTCTATTACTAACTGTCCTCTTTTCAATTATCTTGCCTGAACGTTATATAAGACATACATTTCAAAAATCAATTCATGTTTCAGAAACCCTTACCACCAGAGCCATGGAAAGAAGTACTTAATGCCACAGAAAATACTAAAATATGTTGGCAATTGAGATTAAGGTCTGAAAAGGTAGAAAATGATCCTAGGGAGAATGAAGATTGTTTATATCTAAATGTATACGTTCCTAAGGTTTGTAAAAACAAAATTTTATATCAAGTTTGATAATTGATTAACTTATGGACTAAAATTAACATTTAATTAAAAAATGTAACCGGGTGAAGCTGTCTTTCTAAATGTATAAAATATATTATGTTCCGTCCTCGTCGAAGTAAATATTTAGAATACATATCGTAGTACCCTCGTAGTAGTTCCCAACCGCCTAGCATTTGATGTGAACCAAGTCCCCCACACCTTAAACATAACTACTTTATACCTTATTTACTAATTACCATGTAATGGATGGTAATTTTTGAACCAGGTACGTCATGTTACCTGTTGCTAAAAGCCCGAACTTGAGTTGTTACGTACATTGCGTACAATTTGTGTAGTTGTGTACAAACTATCGTTCCCTATTGCGGAGCGTTAGCAGTATGTTGTTGCAACTAGCTTTGAACATCTACGATATGTATTCTAAATATTTACTCCGACGAGGACGGAACATAATTACATGATCAAACAAACTTACCTGTAAGTGATGTTCGATCTTAATTATGTGAAGTCCTCGTCGAAGTAAATAGCCCCCTCCCTATGAATCACCCAATTGTTGCAACAACTTGGCTTTGGAGAAAATGAAAGTTTATGGTCGGCCAGAGGGGAGGAAGGTAGGGGGAACGGGCGCGGTGTCGCTTTCTTTCGCTGCGTGCGCGCTTTGAAATCGTGGTACAACTGACGAGGGTACTACGATATGTATTCTAAATATTTACTTCGACGAGGACTTCACATAATTAAGATCGAACATCGCTTACACGTAAGTTCGTTTGATCATGTAATTATTTTTGGTAAATAGGATTCTATACTATTGGACACAGATCATTTATTAATGTATATATACTTATCTTGACTTGTAGGATCCTTCAGAGAACGAACCATTAGCAGTAATGGTATACATACATGGTGGAATGTTTTCCTTTAATGACGGTACCTTCAAGAGCTACAAACCATACAATTTCGTCGAAAGGGATATCATAATGGTTTCATTCAACTTTCGCCAGGGTCCCTTAGGTAATGAAAAAAAATTTCTAATGGTACGGGACTTGCTGAAACGATACTTATTTCCTGGCAATTCTATCATTCGCTAATAATCTATCATCACTTACAAGATACTATTCAGACCAAAAAAAAAAATAGGTGGCGCTTTTTTTTGAAAATAGGATCAAAGCTTTCGTATTGATAAACATGTTTTCAACCCGAATTAGAATGTACTTCTCAAAAGTTCATCCCCACCATGTTTTTCGAACGGGTCAAGCTAGGAATATAGGGCTGATGAAATTAATGCGTAAATACTATCTTTATCGTGAAAGTACACTCTAAAGATTTCAAAATGGTGGATGAGCATCACACGCCTTTTTTAATTGAACCAGAGATCATCTGATACTGAGTTTTGAAGCGCCTTATTACAACTTCATAGTCCTGAAACATAAGCTCACTATCTTTCAGAGTGGTGGTCAAATTTAAGCCTTTCTGGAGACTCAATTTCTTATAACTGAACAATCAGTCATCAAAACGCTATTGTAATTTATATTATATTTATTTCTCCCTGCTGAGATCCGTCGGAAAATTTCTGAAAAAAGGGCTGCGATTAAGCAAGCAAAAAGGTCTTGTCACCCTGATGACATTCGTAGAGCGACGAATCTTGTCCATGAAGTGAGAAATGCACTCCATGAATTCCGCAACGAGCAGTGGAGCGACTTTCTGGAGGGGATGCTTGAATGAAGTATTCCTCTCTGGAAAGTGGCAAAATCGCTCAGAAACGGAAGGCAAGAATAACTACCACATGTTCATGGTCCTGGAGGCATAGTTTTCAGGACTGAGGATAAAGTGGATGTTTTTGCTGACGCCATGGAAAGGCAGTTCTCTCTCAATTATGATCTGGACAATGACCTTGACGAGGGACGACAAATTGTAAGATCTGTCAGGAGATACTTCAGAGCGAATGGCGATACCAACATCGGTGCTAACATCGGTGACTCCTTTTCTACGGAAGACTCTTCAGATGAATCTCTGCATAGCACATCAACGGAATCCCATGAGATTCCGTTTTGCACACCAGCAGAGCTCCAAGGCCACATTAAGGACCTAAAGGTGCGTAAAACACCTGGAGAGGATCAAATCACCAGCAAAGCACTGAAGTTGCTTTCGCTCAAGGCTTTGATTTATCTGGTGGCAATAATCAATGCAATTCTCAGAACTCATTACTTTCCTAAGGCGTGGAAGGTCGCTGAATTCATCACGATCCTGAAGAAGGCAGGTTCGATATTCCCCCAGGATTACCGTCCCATTAGTCTGCTGTCAGGTGATTCCTGACGTGCAATTCGGCTTTCGGTCTGAGCATAGTACGGAGTTACAGGCAGTTAGACTGGTGGGGGGTTCACTCTGAACAAAAGTACTGGTATCTTGCTTTTAGATATATCAAAGGCATTGGGCAAGGAGTGGCACTTGGGCCTCTTGTATAAGCTCATCCAAAAGGGTTTTCCATTTTGGCTACTAAAACTGTTGAAATCTTTTCTAGAAGGAAGGAAGTTTCGGATCAAAATTAACAATGTGTTGTCAACAACACGGCCCGTAAGAGCCGGTGTTCCTCAGGGTTCGGTCTTAGAACCAATCCTTTATTCACTTTATATACATGACGTCCCTTGCCCCAGCAACTGTGAAGTCTATCTCTATGCTGACGACATTGCATTGCTAGCCCAGTGTTGTTCTGGTAACCTGGTTCACGACAAGCTGCAGAGTACGGTGGGGCAAGTATTGGAGTGGGCAGATCGGTGGTTGATCAAAATTAGTACTTCGAAAACGCAGGCAATCTATTGTACTAAAAAACATCGCGGTGCCCCCTCAGAAATATCAGAGAATGGAACTCGCATACCATGGGAGCAATCTGTCAGGTATCTTGGAGTCACCATTGACAAGGGTTGACCTGGCAGAAACATACTGATATTTTGAAAACAAAATTCCAAATTACCTTTCGGCAGCTTTATCCTTTGTTGTGCAGAGATCTTGATATCCCATATCTAAGGGATTACGTAAAACAACAGGCGCAGCGGCGTTATAATCAAGCGGAATCGCACAGCACCCCTCTGTTGCGTGATTCAGTAGACTACACAGTCGGGCAAGTTCGCAAACATTCCAGGCCGCGCCTCGCACTGTGATCAAAATTAAATTGTAAATTCAGACCAGCCATAATTATTTCAGTATACAAAACCGATCAAAATTATTTTTTGGAGTTACAAAATAACTCGAGTAGTCAAAGCAATAATGTTTAAGCTATTTCAAATGATTTACTTCTTTTCTTTGCTCTATTTCTTCCTTCATGTCTTTCCTTCTTTCCCTTTTCCCCTTAAACATGTTTGGTATCTGGGTAGCCAGACCTGACAGACTAATAGACCGACGAGACTTTCAACTAAGAGCAAAGGTCCACCGGACCGCTCTGACGAATAATGACGAATAGTAGTATTATATTTATTATTTCTTCTCTTAAAATAATATGTAATAAAATAGGCAATAGTGAATACGAAAAATGTCAAAATCTGACATTTATTTAACGGATTGTTCCCACTATATTGGACATTCAGATTGATGCTTCAAAACCGCCCAAGCTGGACAGCCCGCAATTCCTTCATTCGGAAAAATAATAAGTCTTATAGTTAGTTATAAGCACTGATAAGGAGCTTCGACACGAAGTATCACAGGTCCCCCATTTCATCCTAAACATGTTCCAAGATCCTGCCAGATCACCATCTCTAGAAAGCTCATCCATCTTCACATTCCTACCAAAATGTGAAAAAAAGTCATTCACAACGCGGCGTGGCGTACGGAGAGTAATATTATTCTCTTTCATTTTAGTACTGGACTTTCATCCGTCCACTTTTTCATGTTTTAGTTGTACAGTTTCTAAATGATGGTTTATTTCCACAGGATTCTTGACAACAAATGACAGTGTGATACCAGGAAACGTGGGATTATGGGACCAAAATATAGCACTGAAGTGGGTTCAACAAAATATCGAGGCATTTGGAGGAGACCCCAAAAAAGTTACGCTTATGGGGCACAGTAGTGGTGCGGTTTCTGTAACGTTTCACATGCTCAGCAAGCAATCTGCTGGTAAAGTATGCAACACTATCGGTTGAGTAGGGTATGAGGATCCGTTCTAATAAATCAGCGGTTCTCAAGCTTTTTCTTTCTACGAACCTATAGAGGTTAATAGTAAAAATAGGGATATATCGGCGAACCCCCTGAGCAGTCGTCAGTGAGAATAAATAAAACAGTAGTATTTGGGTGTTATTAATCATATGAATAGTAGTTATAATGAGCAAAGTATATTAAAACACAACTGTAACGTAAAACGTTTAGAGAAACGTTATTAAAATTAACTAAGCCTCACAAAAAAAGGATTAATATAAAATGAAATGAAATGATGATTCTTGGACCTTGTAAAGACATTTTTCATTTAATTTAGAAAAAATATCGGCTAAGTATGGAAGTTTTTGGAGCCACAGAATGTCGGATTCAGAAGCGGACGAATGAAATGGATGGTCAAGAAAAAAAAACTTCAGACTTCAATTCAAACAAGCTGGTCAGAAATTTTTACCTCTTGGGGCATAAGGAATGCTCGACTGTTTGGTCCTTTTTCGATTTTCAGGTCTTTTTAGTGGAGCTATTGCCGAGAGTGGCGCTGGTATACACCAACCTAAGCTCCAGTCTTTTCCAAAATATTTCGCCTACAAGCTGGCACATGCCATTGATCCAAAAATGGGTGAACACAATTCATCTGCAGAGTTGCTTGCGTTTTTACTCAGCGTTTCACCAAGTATCATCTCTAACATAACTAAGCTCTATGTAAGTATATCCGCATTCTGGAAGGTACAGTTTTATCTGAGGATCTATAAAATAGTTCTTACGTTTGTTGTCAAAGTTAATCCGTATAGTGTAATAAACAACCTTGCAAAGCATAGTGGATGGGTCAACATAATTTTAAAAAAATGGTGCCTGATTTCACGGGCTTACAGCTTTAACAGCTTGACTTATTTTAACATACTCGAGATGCGTCTAGATATTTGTTTTGACCCTGGGTATACTAAAATTTTATGAAATCAAAATGGCGGATTTTAACGCCAAACTTCAACTTTGAACCTTTTATTTCAATATACACGGTGTAAACTTTGTAGTGGATCAACGAAAGTCAGGTGATTATGCAGAAATGCATTGCCATTATGGTGCTGTCCTAGAAATGCTCGAGCAGCTGCTCGTATGTATCAGGAGTATGTGTTTAGAAGAGGTGGACCACAACCAGCAGTATATCCCGACTACCGCGTTTTTCTACGCGTTCATAATGCTATGCTATACCCTCAGAAGAAATAGAAGATATAATAGAAGCAGCCGAGCGAGATCCATCTATACTAAGTGACATATAAATCCGGACACCCAGTTTAAATGGTTTTATTTTAATAAAAGATGGTGAAAGCCGTACGCAAAGAGCAAGGGGCACTGGACGCCGCCGTAGAACAACAGACCGTGAAGATCGCCGCCTAAGATTATTGGCCTTGAGGGACCGTTTCGCCACTACCAGGTCCATTGCAAATGAATGGTTTGCAGAACACGGAAGACCTATTGGCATGCGAAGGGTTTACCGACGAATGAGAAGTTTTGGCTTGTTTTCATACCGGCCACACTGGGTCCTCCCTTTAACTCGAGAACACCGACGTAATCGCCTTGAGTGGTGCAGACAACGGTCACTCTGGGATCAGGAATGGAACAGTATTGTCTTTAGTGACGAGTCTCGATATTGTTTAGGCATGCACGATGGTCGTGCCAGGGTTAGGAGGCGACGTGGTGAAAGGAGGAATCCACAGTTTTTTGTTGAAAGACATGTTCATCACACTGTTGGAGTTATGGTTTGGGGTGCTATAGCTTATGGTTCCAGGTCACCTTTAATCTTCATCAGAGGTAACATGAACGCGCAGCGTTATATCCACGAAGTTCTAGAACCCCATCTTTTACCCTATCTTGACACCCTGGCAGATCCAACTTTCCAACAAGATAATGCCCGACCACATGTTGCAAGAGCCACATTAGACTTCTTTCAACATAATGATGTCACATTGTTACCATGGCCACCAAGATCTCCCGACTTATCCCCAATTGAGCACGTGTGGGATATGATGGGTAGGAGATTGCTCAATTTGCAACGTCCTCCTCAGACTCTAGAAGCACTTCGAGAGGAGTTGGTGGTTGTCTGGAATGAGATACCACAGGAGGACATTGAGCACCTGATCAGAAGCATGCCTAGGCACGTTGGAGAATGCGTAGCACATCAGGGTGCCTCCACACATTATTAAAGGTCAAAGGGCTTTAAAGCAGTGCAATCATTTTGAAATTTTTACCATTTACTTATTATGCTTCATTAAGTACTTATACAAAATTTTATTAAAATAAAACCATTTAAACTGGGTGTTCGGATTTATATGTCACTTAGTATATGTGCATATAACGCTTCAGATCGAATAAAAAAAAGAATTACTGAAAACTGTGACAACTATCCCCGGTCTCCCCTATTTTCAATGCGATGGTGCCCCATGCCACTTTGCACGGGATGTACGGCATTACTTAGACAGCGCCTTTCCTGGGCGTTGGATAGGTAGATATGGACACATACTATGAACTCCAAGGTCACCCGACTTGCATCCTCTAGATTTTTTTATATGGAGTTTTATAAGGGGACAGTCTTTACATCTGAATATACAAAAATGTCAACCAACCGCGCCAAAAATAAAAATTATGGAAAACGCAAATTAATTTCAGACACTAAGGGACAACTTTATTAGAAAGTATCGCTTGAGTATAGAAAATAATGGAGGTCATTTTGAACATGTTCTTTAACAGTTAGTTAAATTAATTGGTAGATCGCCATAAAGAGCGGCTAAACACAATAGGTTTTGTACTTGTAGGTGGTAAGGATTCTTTTGCGTTTCTTACGTTTATCGCATCACAACAACGATTGTGACATATTACACCCATCGTAGCAAGCTAAAATTTTTAGCGTTTATTCTAGATGGATTGAAATAGTTTTTACAATATCATGAATAATGAAATACAACCTCACTTTTTTTTATCGCCCTCCAAAGTTGAGGGATGGAAGCGATTTTCACAAAAAAAAGAATTTAAAACTTTTTGCGTTGATTTCTAATAACCTCAGTTAAAAAGTGACATAACCATTGCTAAAACTAACCATTTAGCTCATCTCCAAAAAAATCACAGCCCTAAACCTAATGATTTAGTTGTAATTGCGGTTGAAAGTTCTTTTTTCGAAATTTCACAAAATTGCAGATACGTCCTGATAGAATATCGGACGACACATATAGAGGTTCATTCGATAGGTTTCGAGGCACTCAATCACCTGAATTCCATGGATCTACGAGTATTACTAACCGATACCCTGTACATAGCACAATTAGAACTTTGTTCTTTTAAATTACTACAGTCGTCTTTTTTTGTATTTTCTTAAAATGTACTTGTATAGATTATGTTTTCAGCCTGATCCGAAATACGATAATCGAATTTTAGCGGGTGTGGGGACTGAAATAGTCTGGCTCCCAGTATTGGAATCAAGCGAGGATGAAAATGCGTTCCTTAAAGCCCCTCTACATGATAATCTCAAAGATGGCAATTTCAACCAGGTTTCTGTTTTGGCAGGAATCACTTCCGAAGAAGATGCCTTTAGAGGTAACAGAAGTTTGAAACAGACGTAATGTAATAGAGGTTAATATGCAGAGCGTGTAAGGTATTCCTCGGATTCATGTATTCGGGACAAAAAAAAAGATTATATTCCGAGTAGATGTAGGGTCGGTAGGGTTATCAAGTAAAGAACTTATACAGGGTGTCTGCGAATGGTTGGTAAATATCGAAACTGGAGATACTACAGACCAGAATATGTCAATTGACCTAAACATACCTTTGTCCAAAAGTTGATAGTTTGCGAGATACAGGGTGTCAAAGTTTTTTATTTTCTATTTTTCCTTATTGCTTGAGAATTATTCCAGATTTTGGCATAAAACTCGGTTTAGGGAGGTTTTCTAGTATCAGAAACAAGAATCCGCTAATTTTTATGGTCAAACTTCTAGAGGCCACCACTTACAGCACTATTCCGGTAAATAACTTATCATAACTTTTTTGTGCCACCCTGTATGCAAAAACTGACCGAAAAATCTTATTTTCTCGTATTTCCACAACAAAAAAGGTTTACTTGTTAGAAGTGTCTGAAGGTAACAGTTTTCGAGATATTTGTTTTTAAAGGTTCCAATGCATTATTTGTACCATGATGAGTATAATGTCAAAAGACTAACAAAATCAATTAGCTGTGCCAGACGGGTTATTTATGTGCTGTTCTTCTGAAGAGAGGTTATGTTCAAAGTTATATCTAAGGCTTAATCTTAAAAAATAAATATACAGGTTGATTCATAAGTAGTGACTAAAGATGAGACATTTTAAAGGGGCTATTTTCCCTTCTGTTTGAACTGATGAAAAATCATGATGAACTTCTCCATTTCGTCGCACGATATTGTATCGAAAACCAGGCCAAAATTTAAAACTCAAAGTATCGGAAATGGTTAGATAGTTAATAAATTGAAACTGAAATATTGGTTTGTTCATGGAATTCTGATTTGACTTTACTTACATTACCTCTACCATGTCAGGCTATTAAATTTAACGTTTTTGTTGTATCATTTTATATTATTTCTAATGGCAACCAACCGTTGTGTTGGATGTTGAAAATATTTGAACATCTGGATATGGATCGTAATAAAGAGAGTACGAACTTTCATTTTTTGTTTTTTAGCAATAATGAATAAATGTTTATAACTACTGCAATAACAATTGTAAATGGCTAAAAATGTGTAAGAATGAGGGCATCATTGGTAACAATAAGTATCCTAGAACATTTTACAAAGGTGAAATGGATTCTTGAAGGTTTCAACTTCAACTTCAACAAGAATTTATGAAAAATATTAATTATCTATTTTAAAATTGTTGCTAAAAATGAAATTAAAGAAAATAGCAAATTTTTATAGTTATAAGCATTTACAATAACGTCGTTATTTTCAATATAATTTATTTTTACAAGTCGATTTGGATAGGTGGTTAAAAAACGCATATTTAAAAAAAAACTTCTACAACCAATATGAGCCAAGATGATTTCTTTTTAATTCATACCTCCTTTGTTTATAAACATTAAGAGTCGAAATTTTCAAAGATTTTAATCAAGGACCTTAGTTTTATGATCTTATTTGTAATTTCACTATTAGCTTAAGTATATCCAGACGAGGTGGTGGGGGAATCAGCTCTAGCTCGATTTATTTTTTGAAATTGAGTCCTTAAATCCGAGCACGCTGCAAAATAAAAATTTGCATTATCTCGGTTTCTAAGCAACGTAGAACCTTCTTCTTTAATTTGGGGTAACTCTTAGAAATAATGACATCTGGCACATTTTCATTTTCCGGGAAAATTTTGAGATCCCGGAAAACTTAACACGTTTTACTCTTAGTCTAATAAAATAATTAATATCTTACAATAAAATTGTTCAAACAATTCAGTTAGTTGATATACTTTCAACACAATACACTCTAATAATAAATTTTAGAAAATATGAAGACATCTTTTAAAAAGATTCACTTTTCCCAACGTTCCTGCCATTTTCTTAAAAAAAGTCACGAAACACGTGTCACTCGAATGGCTGCCAAATCCAAACTAACCTATCAATCAGGCTGAAATTTGTTGTGCCATCGTTTGATAGATGGCAGCACCAGATGACAACATTAACTTTCCTCAGGAACGCCCGCTGTCGTGAAACACTGGTATTTGTTGAACCGCCCTCGTAGAAAGATGGATTCTAGAACGGCAATTTATCTCATTAAATATTGCAGTATCAAGTTGGACCAAGGAAAATACTCTAACTGTGGATAAAAATCCGGAACTAGTGTATGACAGAATGACAGGAATAAAAGAAGAAAATAAAGCAGCATTTTGGCAAGAACTCAAAGCAGTATATACCAAAGAGCCGTTTCATAAGAATTTTACAGGCCTCATAAAAGTAAGTCATTATATAACTAAAATTATAACACCTCAAAAGTTAGTATCATCAAAGGTACTTGCATATGTACTAAGTGACATATAAATCCGGACACCCAGTTTAAATGGTTTTATTTTACGAATCAGAAGTTTTGGCTTGTTTTCATACCGGCCACACTGGGTCCTCCCTTTAACTCGAGAACACCGACGTAATCGCCTTGAGTGGTGCAGACAACGGTCACTCTGGGATCAGGAATGGAACAGTATTGTCTTTAGTGACGAGTCTCGATTTTGTTTAGGCATGCACGATGGTCGTGCCAGGGTTAGAAGGCGACGTGGTGAAAGGAGGAATCCACAGTTTTTTGTTGAAAGACATGTTCATCACACTGTTGGAGTTATGGTTTGGGGTGCTATAGCTTATGGTTCCAGGTCACCTTTAATCTTCATCAGAGGTAACATGAACGCACAGCGTTATATTCACGAAGTTCTAGAACCCCATCTTTTACCCTATCTTGACACCCTGGCAGATCCAACTTTCCAACAAGATAATGCCCGACCACATGTTGCAAGAGTCACAATAGACTTCTTTCAACATAATGATGTCACATTGTTAGGTGGTTCCTGGAATGAGATACCACAGGAGGACATTGACCACCTGATCAGAAGCATGCCTAGGCGCGTTGGAGAATGCGTAGCACATCAGGGTGCACCCACACATTATTAAAGGTCAAAGGGCTTTAAAGCAGTGCAATCATTTTGAAATTTTTATCATTTACTTATTATGCTTCATTAAGTACTTATACAAAATTTTATTAAAATAAAACCATTTAAACTGGGTGTTCGGATTTATATGTCACTTAGTATATAACTAAAATTATAACACCTCAAAAGTTAGTATCATCAAAGGTACTTGCATATAAATCTTCATCAGCTTGTCTTTTAAGTATACTATAACACCCTGTATTCCACCGTGTGGGTTAGATGGGAAATAACCTGGTACTCAACTCCAGCCATTTTTGATCAAAAAACGATTTCAGGCCCTTGTTTTTGTTGTTGATGAAAAAATGGGACATGAAATGAATGCAAATACAAAATATCTAAAATATTCCACCATAAAATAGGTTTTTGTTTGAATTCTTATAACCTACCCTTATTGACCGTACTTACAATATGGGTCATTTTGGATGCATATTTTTTTATAACGAAGCAGCCGCGCAGAAGCCTCGACAGCATGACCTGCTGTATCGGTCTTGCTTGAGCCCGACTAGAGCTCATTATGGGCATTGAAATCGCCGAGGAGAACTACCTCTGAAACGGGGTGATTGATGTTCAGGAAGTCGATCTGGACGGCAAGGTATTCAACTAGGTCGTCCCAGTTATTGTCCCGAGGGAGAGCGATAAAGGCGATAAGGCGTTGTCAGAAGTTGGTACAGTTCCTGAGTTTTCTCAAAAGTGATCTTCATATGTTGCCCTAAGCTCAAAGATTGACACGGAAGTTGTATTATTTGCAGATGAAGGGAGATTTGAGATTTAGTAATCCGGTTATCAGATTTGCTGATCTAGCATCGCGTTATGTGGATGTCTATTTCTACCAATTTTCCTACTTTGGCGAAATGAACGCTAATAGAGATGTCTTAGACGAGGAAGGTGAGCATTATGTTATTTTAATTTATCATATCAAGTCTTTTCACTATCGGTCTGCTTATATGTGCAAAGACCTAGGCTATGGAGAAAACACGATTGTCCTAAACAAAGCCGTGTATATAGTGTAGAATATACAGGGTAGGCGAAAAAAGCTCGGACTCGTCGATTTTGTTTTCGAGGGGGACACAAGTTTGGCAAAAAATCACGTTGGCACGTGCAGCCCCCTAAGCGGGGGTGACACCACCCCCAAAATCTTAAATGGAAAGGGGGGTCGAGTGATACCTTATTTTAAAGGTCTTGCAATTCCGTTTATAATGATATAAAATTAATGTACTTCAGTACAGTAGTTTTGAAGATTCATTGATTAAAAGCTTAAGTAAGACTAATACATCATCATTAGTGGAGATTAATACATTTGGCAGCAAAGTAATTTAAAAATGAAGAATGAACTGACCCGTTAGGCAAGTAAATGTTGAAGATCGCCACCATGAGTCTCCATGCAATAATAAAGATTTTGCTCAAAACGTTGCCGCACATTTTTCAATATTTGAGGAGTAATTTGAAGGCACTCATTCACAATACTTTGTCGTAGGTCTTCTAATGATGTTGGCTGAGTAGCATAGATTTTGCTTTTTAATTAAATGACCCCACATAAAGAAATCCAAACGTGATAAATCTGGCGATCTTGGGGTCCATTCAATGGCACCTCTTCTACCAATCCATCGATCTGGAAACGTCTGATCTAAATATTGTCCAACACGTAATGCGTAATGTGGTGGGGCACCATCCTGTTGGAACATCGACCTATTCGCAATGTACCGCCGATCATTCTGATTTTCAATTATGGCTGTTAATGCAGGATCTATGGCGTCTTCCAGTAATTCCAAATACATTTCACTGGTCAAATTACCAGGTAAGAAAAAAGGACCAACTAAATGATAGCCAAAAATACCAGCCCAAACGTTTAATTTTTGTGACTGCTTTGTATGAACCTCATGACGAATTGTGGGATTAGAATCGGACCAATATCGGCAGTTATGACGATTTCCTACGCCATTTAAGAAAAATGAAAATTCGTCGGAAAAGCAAGTGTTGAATAGAAAATGTTCACCGTTTATAATTAATTCACTAATATCCTCACAAAATTGTAATCGCCGATCAAAATCGTCTTCATTAAGTTCTTGTACCAGGTGAATTTTATACGGATGAAAACTATGGGCCTTTAGAATTCGTTGGACAGTACGTCGACTAACACCACACACAGTCTCCAATTTGCGGGTACTTATCGTAGGATCTACATAAACTTGCCCTTAAACCCCCACTTCTATTGCTTCGTTCCTTATGGGATTTTCAATATTGCGTTTTTTATTGGCAACTGACCCAGTCTCCCGAAATTTAGCTACAAGTTCTAGAACATATTTTCGATGCACGTTACTGTTCTTATGTCGCTCATTAAATATTTCTTCTGTTCTATTAGCGCACTGATTACTGGACAACAAATTTTAGTTTTTTAATTGTATCTTGTCGGAAAAGTACACTTCTTTGTTAATTTTGGGGCGCTGAATCCAAAAATGACAAAGAAATAAAAAAATTGGTTGCGGTTTAGAAAAAAAACTTTTTATTTTTAAGGATATATTAAAAAAAGTAACAAGATTCATATACTTATAAGAATATAAAGCTGTCTTTTCGCTGTTCTTTTATGTATCGTTTCTGGAGCATCTCTACCAAGGGTCCAACAGTAGTCAGCAAGCATGGAAGGATTCCACTTTCCCTGGTACCTTTTTCCCATTGTTGAAATATCCTGATGAAAACGTTCGCCGTGCTCATCACTTACGGCTCCGCAATTGTCAGGAAAAAAGGCCAGGTGTGAGTGTAGGAAATGTATCTTAAGAGACATATTACAGCCCATCTTTTGATACGATGACAGCATATTTTTGACAAGGGTTTTATAGTTGTCAGCTATTCTATTTCCCAAGAAATTAGTGACCACCAGACGGAAATCATTCCAAGCAGTTTTTTCAATACCTGTTAAAGTGTTTTCAAACTGTGTATCTTTTAAAATATTTCGAATCTGTGGCCCAACAAAAATACCGTCTTTAACCTTTGCCTCACTTAGTCTTGGAAATTTCTGACGCAGGTATCGAAAAGCTGACCCATCTCTATCTAATGCCTTGACAAAGTTTTTCATTAGGCCCAACTTGATATGCAGTGGTGATAATAAATTTTTTTTCGAATCTACTAATGGCATATGCTGTACATTTTTTTGACCTGGCACTAGGAATTGACGAAAAGGCCAGTTTTGTCTGGTGTAATGAAGTGCCTTTGCCCGACTGTCCCATTCACTCAAAAAACAGCAAAACTTTGTGTAGCCTAAGTAAAAGTGCAACAACTTTCAAATCACCACAAATATGCCATTGGTGCTCATCGTATTTTATGCATGTCAGTAGGTACTTCATATTGTCATATGATTCTTTCATGTGAACTGCATACCCTACAGGTAGAGATGGTCAAATATTTCCAATATACAATAACACTGCCTTTAAACTCAATGTTGAACTGTCTATAAACAATCTCCATTCTTCTGGGTTATAGTTTATATTTAAAGCCGCCAGTAAGCCGGTAATGTTACTGCAGAAAACCAATTTATTCTCCATATTGAAAAATGGTTCTAAGTCTTTGTGGCGTTTACGAAAAACACATACCGAAACATCGTCTTCTAACAAGTTCCACTGCTGCAGTCTTGATCCAAGTAACTCTGCCTTACATTTTGGAAGTTCTAAATCTCTTAAAAGATCATTTAATTCTGACTGTGTTATTTTGTGCGGTTGGTGGCATGACGTGCTCGGTATAAAATCAGGATCTCTTGACGTTGATGGCATATCTTCGTCCTGACGAATCACTCGATCGCCATGATCTGATTCGCAAGTGTAGGATTCTGGGGGTTTTGGAATAGGATTTTCGTCACTGTGAGGCACAGGTCTCATCGCAGATGGTATGTTTGGGTAGTTAATAACCGATTTTTTTTTTCTTGGACATACCTGTGGCTTGTCCAACACAAGGTACCATGCAAAAGTAACAATCATTAATATGATTTGTAGGCTCTCTCCAAACCATTGGGACAGCAAAGCGCATAGACCGTTTTTTGCCATTTAACCAGCTCCTCAGACTTGAAGCACAAGTATTACAGCAGATGTGGGGTGCCCACTGTTTGTCTTGATCACCTAGTTTACAACCGAAATAAAGCTGATATGCCTTTGTTATTAGTGGAGTAATAGACCGTCTCTGAGACGCAAAAGTCACATCACCACACACGTAACAAAACTGATCTGGATTGTTTACACACTTTCGAGACATCTTGCATGAACGCTGTCAGCCAACTGAGGAAAAAATGGCTAATATAAAACAATATACACGTATATATAACGTAACACAATCATGCCGATTACATCATCTTTCCTTGCCGAATATAAAAATGTAGCAGGTGCATTCTTGTGAATTACAGTATATTAACACTGTCACAGCAGGAACACATATAATTACCGTATCTCTAAAACTTCAACTAATATTGAAAAAATAAGTTTCATTCCGGTTTTAGCACATTAAAAATAGTAATATTATGTTGATTTTATTTAGAATATTTTTTGGCTGTTGATCAGTGATTATTTCCGAAAAATATTTCGATAATTTGAACTCTTTCTGCTGTGGAATATACCATACCATGGTTACAAAGCATGGACGTAGTAAAGAAAAGCATTTACTGATTAAGTAAATTCTTTTAGTCAAATTTCTTCTGAAATTAGTACAAACTAATCTGATGTAGGTACCTATTAAAGTCTACTTTAAGCTTTAAATCAATAAATCTTCAAAACTACTGAACTGAAGCTCATGCATTTTACATCACTATAAAGGGAATTGAAAGACCTTTAAAATAAGGTATCACTCGACCCCCCTTTCCGTTTAAGATTTTAGGGTGTTAACGTCATTTTTTGCCAAACTTGTGTCCCCCTCGAAAACAAAATCGACGGGTCTGAGCGTTTTTCAAAAAAAACTGAGCTGCCAGTAAATGCGTCTGTTTCGTTTCCGATGCGCCACCCTGTATAATGTATATACATAATTTTTTTATAATAGTTATCTGTTTAAACACGATAAGCGTACATGTTTATACCCGTATCCTTAAAAGGTATCATTTTGAAATAAATAAATAGAATATAAGTACGTAGCATCCTGGGTTACTGGTTGTGAAATAATTTTTTAATCAAGCTGTATCTATTTTTATAGCTTAAAATCGCCTTTTAATAGTCTGCGGAAATTTTTCATCTCGTTTTTGGATTATTAATTCAGTAGTTCTTAGTCGCTTTTTGAAATATCATTGCAATCTGTGCTAGATTGTGTACCAAATTAATTGGAAGCATGTCTATGAGGATATACCTATTTCCATATTTTTTCAAATAGTTTGTCAAAAGTGAAACCTCATCTATCACATCCGAATCGACCACTGCGGAGTCACCACTTGACCGCTTGATGACTGACGATTCTGGCTGTGAAGTAGATGTGGGCTACTCGCAGATAAACTAATCAGGATGCTTTCGTTTGTCCAACCAGAAGACGGAGAACCATGGACAGCTGATTTGTGTTTCTTGGCTAATCATCAGCTTGATCTAGGCTTGGTCTCTCGTCTCTGGGCATCGAGCGAAAGCATCGTAGCTATCCCCTATTCAGGAGGTACGGTCTATTGAAATGAAACATCAGAAAGCGCCATCTATCACAAGAGGATCGACCACTGCGTAAAGCGCACATAGCAGATATCAGTTGGAACAGTTCTAGCTAATAGCAGCTATGCGCTTTCCACATTGGTCGATTCTAAAAGGGTATATGGCGCTTTGCGATGTCTTATTTTGCTAGATGGTACCTCCTGAATCGATAATAGTTACGATGCTTCCGTTCATTGCCCAGAGATGAGAGAACAGGCATAGACTTTGCTGACGAGTAGTCAGGAAGCACGAAACAGCTGTGCAAGGTTGACTGTCACTCGCCATTGTAATCTTAACGCTAGTCAAGGACTGATAAAAATGATCTTTTCAACGGTTGACAAGACAACTTCGTCTAAACATTTTTGTCAAAATCGATATGACGGCAGTTTGTAGCTATCGATGCTATGGCAACTTCCTCAATTGATTAAAGTCTAAAACGCAAACCCGAAATATTTGAAAGTTAGAAAATAATCCTGCTGGCAAATCTCTAATGACATAGTATCAAAATAATGACTGCTTTCAACTACTTTTTGATATGCTTTCTAGGCTTAGGAAAAGCAGCTCACTGCGCGGAATTGCCTTACTTGATGTATTATGAAATGGACGGTGACACCAAGACATATCCTAAGTCTGACATCAGAATGCGACATATTTTATCTGACTTGTTTGCGAACTTCATAAAATACCAGTAAGTATGAATAATGCAATTAATTAATCAATTTCTTTCATGTTTGCATTCTTTCTAACTCTGCTGAAGGCATCAATTACTGTAGATGTATCGGTTGTATGGACAGTCTACATCTCGTCTTACTTTTATTCGTTAACTAGTTATTATGTTTGTTTCAGGAATCCGACACCTAAGAGAGATTCTAGACTGCAGAATATTATATGGCCGAAGTTGAACTCGAACACTTTGCTATATTTAGATATAGATGATAACCTCACTATCAAAGAGAATCCCCGATACTACAGACAATGTAGAACAATATTCGACAAATATTATGAGCATCCACTCACGCAATTGAATTGATCACATTTCACGAACACAAATTAATTATAAATATCGATTAGGTGGGGATTTACTAATTCTTACACAAAGAAGTACATAGGACGAGAGACCAATATCAACAGCGTGCATTCTCTTGCTTTCCTTTCAGTACTTCCTTCTTCCTCCACTTTCGTCTAAATCAGTGTCAAACAACCGCAACCAGACGGCCAGCGCCCAACTTTCCACATTGCACATAATATTTGTTGTTTTTTTTTTTGTAAAAATGCAACAAATGCTGATTGATTTTTTGTCCGGATTTTATTTGTCACGTTAAGCGACCAACAAAAAGATAGGTTGCAAATTCCTAGCTAAGACAACCCTGGCTTAATCTAATCTACCGTTATTTATGATTTAAAAAAAAATCTAATTTTGACAAAATGATAACAGATACTTGCAGATTCAAGCGGCCGGATCCTTAGACGACTAGGAAAGTGCTCATATGACGGATCTGTCAAACTTTTCCCAGAACAAGCACAAAAATCCCTCAAGGTTGCTATTTTTCAAAAAGAGTCCCCCAAATCACAGTGAATTAATTGAAAGGTGTAGGCTTGGTCCAAAGAAAGAGGCGGAGCTTTCTTTGCGCGAAAAGTGTAATTCCTCACAAAACATTATCTTCCCAAAAGTTCCTTCAAATTTGGGAGAAATCCCCAACATGGCAACCCTGTCAAATCACCACTGGTACTCCAGGCGTTAAGTTTTGCAGTCGCTCAATAACACCAACACAATTGCCGTAGCCGTTTCTCCTGGCCGCCTGACTGCTTTTGGTTAAAATATTAGCCAGACATTTCAAATAACAGAACTCTCAAGAGCGCCCGCTACAAGAGTGGCCATGTTTCACGGCTAGTCAAAGACGTAGCACATAGCTACAGAACACGGTATTGAATTTTAAAAATTATAATCTTTAATTTTCGACAGAACTTTTTAAATTAATGCATAAAGTCTATATAAACATGGGTCGAAAAATGCGTGTCTTCCGAAATACAGGGTGTTTAAATTTACTTTTGAATATTCGAACAATATTCGATGTATAACAGAAAAAATTGGTATACAAGGGTTTTCTGGTAAGAAAAAACGAACCATGGGCATAGTTTTACTGTATCCGCTAGAGGGCGCTCTTTACTGTACCTGTAGTGTATTAAAATGACCGAAAAATTTTTCTTAGTGCAATTTTTTGCTGTTTGAATAAAAAAGTTGATTCTCCGAACTTTTCTGCATAAAAAAGATCTTTTGTGAGTTTTCGCTATAGTTAGCCGTTTTTGAGTTATTTCGATTTTTAAGGTTCGATGCATTTTTAATTATTCATTGGAAAATAATATTTTTTTTACATTTTCGATTTGGGCATTACAAGTAATTAAGATGATCGTTTAGATTGTGTTTTTAAACACAGCAATAATTCCTAACTCCAAATAAACACAAAAAAACAGAATATTAATTTGTTTAATTTTCCATTATTATTCTTAACAAATTAAATTAATTATTTACAACTACAATGCTATTGGATAGTTAGGACAAACATACAAAATCTAAAGTAGTTGCTCGAAATGTAAACCCAATTGTTCAATACACAATTCACATCTACGAATGATCGAACGTGATATAGCATTATTCAAATAAGGCCTTATTTCATCACATGCATTCCTGATTATGTCTATTAGCATATCTCTTGTGGTTACGGGAGTCTGCTACACTTTTCTTTTAGAAATCCCCACACAAAGAAATCTAATGGATTTAGGTCAGGGGATCGTGGCGGCCAGGCGACTGGTCCGATCCATCTTTTTGGATAATTTTCGTCCAGCCAGTTTCTAACTATTCTCGAATAATGAGCCTTTAAAAAGTCCAAGAAGGTCGCAGCATTTAACCTTGCAGGCGAAAGGTAGGGTCCAAATAGTTGATTACGGTAGATACCAATCCACACGTTCACACTAAATTCATGCTGAAAATTTCTTTCCGAACTGCATGCGGATTTTCATACGACCAAATATGTTGATAATGAAAATTTACCACTCCACATCTAGTGAAGCATGACTCATCGGTCCATAAAACGTTACTTAAAAACTCCCTATTATTATCAGTTCTATCAAGAATCCACTGACAAAATGTGATTCTTCGTTCTCCGTCCCCTGGCTGTAGTCCTTGCACAGGTTGCAAATGGTAAGGACGTATATGGTCATTTCTAAGAACACGGTGAACATGGCTTGCTGAAATTCCCAAGGCACCAGAAACTCTCCTAACACTTGTGGTCGGAACTCTATCAAACTCACGCAGAATCATACGGGTAAATCTGCGCTGACAAACATTTATGTTTTGATCCCTTTGGAGATTTCCAAAACCATTTTCAATCATTTGGCGATGCACTCTTACAAATGCTGAGCGAGTTGGATGTCGTCTGTTTGGAAATCTTCGTGCGTATTCTCTGGCTGCTTCTGCTGTGTTTCCATTTACAAAGCCATACACAAAATGAATATCCGCTAACTCTTGATTGGAGAATAAAAATGGCATTTTTATAAAACTTACAAAAAAAAACAGGTAAAAGAAACTAAATTTCGTGCATTCACAATTGCAAAAAGACGTTTCAGGTTTCAAAAGACAACAAAACTAACTGTCAACTAATTGACGTTTGACCTTATTCTGCTTTCAATTTCACAAATATTTGCAGGCACAGCCTACTTCTAAAAATTATCGAGATACTGACTTTTTAACGTTATTTTATCATAAATAATTAAAAATGCATCGAACCTTAAAAATCGAAATATCTCAAGAACGGCTAACTATAACGAAAATGCACAAGAAAGCTTTTTTATGTTGAAAAGTGCGAAGAATCAGTTTTTTTATTCAAAAAGCAAAAAATTGCACTTAGAAAAATTTTTCGGTCATTTTAATACACTACAGGTACAGCAGAGAGCGCCCTCTAGCGGCTACAGTAAAACTATGCCCATGGTTCGTTTTGCCGTATCAAAAAACCCTTGTATACCAATTTTCACTGTTATACAACAAATATTGTTCGAAATATTTAAAAAAAACTATTTTAGAAAGTAAATTTAAACACCCTGTATTTCGGATGCCACGCATTTTTTATATAGACTTTATGCATTAATTTTAAAAGTTCTATCGAATCTTAAAGTTATGCAACAATAAACTGAAACACCCTGTATATTATTAAACATGTCTTAGCCTTCATGGGTTGCGTGGAAGAGCAGCAATGTTGAATATGCCACCATATGTCCATGTGTAACTTAGAATGAAAATAATAAAGACACATATTACTACTGCTACTACACGGCGCACTTACGGGTATTTGAATTAAAAGACCATTCTGCAGAATAGCTCGTATCTCAAAACTGGTATGTGCCTAAGATAATAATAATAGTAATAATAATGATAATAATATTTATTCACTCAATGTACAAAGAGAACAAACAACATGAGTAAATAAATATAAAATCAAAACAGGCCCTATAGAAGGCATTGCCTGTACATGGACCAATAATTTGCAAAAGTTGCAACTGTAGAATGCAAATGACAAAAAAGGACAAAAATTAGCTACAGTAGATTATGTATTTACTTGATTTTCCTATTTATGAGTTTATGAATTTCAGTCCTAGATATAGAATGTAGCCACTTTTTTAAATTCCTTTTGAAACAATTTCCGAAACGTAATCTTTTTCTGCCGGAACAAATGCTAAAAAAGCCTGACACTTTTGTTTACCCACTGCTATTTCTCGACAGTAGTCTCGGTGCGAGTTTGATCACTCTTCATTGCGCACGTATCACTTGTCAGCGTATTTATTGTGACGACAATATTTTAAAGTTTTTACAAGTTATCACGAATCGTGTACCAGTTTTTCAACATGGACGTTTCTGAGGCAGGTATGTTCAACCAATTTTGTCAATTTTAATTGTAATAGTAGCTGATTTATTCGTTTTCGCGAAATCTATCTCTATTCCAATCATTTTTACCTTTGATATTAATAAAACTCGAATGATTTTCATGAATTTCGGGATGTATCCCGGTTATGATTTTGGTCTCATATTATACAGGGTGTCCGCAAAGTTGGGGTTTTCCTTTTCAGAAACAGCTACCCTTGAAATAACAAAGGTAATGTGTAGTGAAACGAGGGCGACCAAGTAAAAAAAACATAAAGGAAAAAGTACTCACTCTCCAGTTGACGAAATCATACCGCTCCAACAGAAAATGAAATTAGCTGATGCGCTACCGAGCAGACGCCGGCGGTGGTGCAGACCACGAACAGAGGTAACAAATATGACCATCGTGCAGAAACCACATTGATTGTCTTACACTTAATAGCACATCTAACAAGGAAGGCAAAATGTTGCGTAAAAAGTCTAGGTATTGCATCCCGTCCAATCGATTTGGGAGAATAAATCGTCCAATGAGCATACCATTCACCATGCCAGCCCAAAGATTCACCGAAAATGTTTGTTGAAAATGTGCCCGACGGACAGCGTGCGGATTTTCTACTGACCAAACATGAGTGTTGCGAAAGTTATTCACCCCATTACGCGTGAACGTAGATTCGTCTGTCACCAATGTGCACTTCAAAAAGTCCGGATTATTGTTATGTTGATGCAACAACCACTCACAAAACCGCACTCTTGCTGGAAAATCGTCAGGTTGAAGGGCTTGTACACGTTGGACGTGAAACGGATACAGCCCCTCTTCACGCAGCGTTTCCAACACTTTAGTTTTTGATACTTGCACTTCTCTAGCCACGTCTCTAGTGCTTGTTGTTTTTTGAAACGCAATCGATTATACGGGTTCGTTTACCTTTACACGCGTGACCGTAACCGTCGGTTGAAGGTTGCATACTGACCTGACACACTGACCCCGACCCAGTTCTGTCGTCGGGTTGAGCCAGTGACCTTGTACCACTCGGGGATGTCGCGACTCGCGGCTACAGGACGGTATTCAGATATTTTTGATGTTGCAGAGCCCTTTATGTCAGTTCCCTTAAGACATTGGTGTATATGGTACTACGAAAAATTGCTTATGTTTTCAAGATCTATACGTCGTGTAAAGGAAAACCCCAACTTTACGGACACCCTGTATAATTGGAACTTGGCTAATCATATCGACAGAAAATGTTTTCAACTTCATCCAAATTTCAGTATAATCGCCAAATAAAAGATGATCGTTTGTTCAAGTCATTTCTTTTTTTTTCTTTATAGGGCCCTCTAGAGTCAAGATCATTACTCGAAAAAAAATTTACAACATTATACAAGGGTATCCCAATAACGACATTACCAAAAAATTGGACTATGCTGAATCTTTTTTGTGAATTCTTAGAATTATTCAGAAAAACAATGAAAACAAGTTAAACACAAATTGTCAAATCTAAAATCAGAAATAAAACATAGATGGATTGCCGCACATTACATAGAAATCTTTTCCTTAAAAGAAATGATCGTTGGTTCCAAATGACATTTGAAATACGATGAACAAAATCACGACCAGGGCACCCACAGAAATCTTTTAGTAATATTAGCGAGCGAAGTAAAAGACGGAAAACAGAAGCATTCCGTGGTGAAATAAGTTCTGAAGAGTTGACTTTTGCCACTCATATGAGGTTACGTTCTGAGGGCTTCAAAGGTGATAAAAGACCTAATGCAATCTCTGTTTGTCGAAGCTGGCCTGACAAGAAGACAGTATGATACAATTAGAAGTTTTAACAAGAAACTATACCCGTGCTATACGATCTTACAAAAGGCTAAAAAGGACTGTTATCCTGTACAAGAATCTTATAAATTCACTGCTACTTGCGCTGAATCTTCAAGATTTATTAAATCGTACTACTTCGCGGCATTTGTTGCATTTGATAGATGTTTTCCAGAATTTAAATAGTGAAGAAAGAAACACGCTAATGTTTACATATAAATGGGGACGTAATGAGTCACAGCAGACGACATTTAATCAAAAATTTGAAAATAACTTCGATTCAGATGCAAATATATTCCAAAGTTCATTTGTTCCGTTACAGTTGTCTTCTAGCTAAGGCAGTGAGATAATATGGCGAAACTCGTTGTCTTCTTCGTCACCATTTTGCCGCGCCATTCGCATAAGATTTGTGAAGGAGACAGTAGATATCACAAACGTTGAAATAAATTATATAGAAAACACAATAAAGTCTTTGGAACCGACACAAGTCGCGCAATTAAACAAAAGCTTTCTAGTAAAACTTATAATGATGCTTACAATGGATTTTCATTAGCCCAATAACGACAATTCTGCTGGTTAACCATGCGGTTTAGGTGAAAGTGGGCTTCGTCACTCATAAACAAAATGAGCTTCTCATTTTGATCGATCAGTGCTTCCATCTCACGTGCGAAGTTCATTCGTTGTGCATAATCTCCGGGCTGTAACTGCTGCACAATGGCCAATTTGTAGGGGTGAAAGCGGAGATCCATATGCAAAATTCGCCTTACCGAACTATCACTAAGGCGAAGTGCAGCAGCATGTTTCCGGGCAGATCGAGTCGGACTGCGAAGAAAGACCTGTCGAACGCGTCCAACATTTTCAGGAGTTCGAACAGCTCGCGGCGCTCCTCTTGGTCTTCTGTTGATCAGTTCACCACGCCTGCGAAGTGATTCAACCCAACGAAGGATGGTGTTTCGAGAGGGAACAGCTCTATTCCGATGAATGTTGGAGTGGCGACGAAACTCACGCTGTACGACGATGACTGACTCATTATTTCGGACGAAACAATCATAGGCGAAAACGTGGTGCTCCACCGTCCAAGGATCCATAACGACAACTGGTAAAATAATGCTATACTACAACTATTTAAAACTGTAATGACTCATACGCGTGATCAACACGTGATCAGAGATCGATCCCGGCTTCCTTCCAGTACAGCCGTATAGCGTACGACATATGTCGTTTCTGTGGCTTTGCGGTGGTCACCATCACAGACAGAGATGGAAATAATGGCTGATTGTTCTCCGCCGGTAGAACCAATGAAATCAAAGACGCGCCTCGACCGGCAGACACATAGGCGTCGGCAACGCATTGGGACGTGTTTCGTTGAGCGATCGCATATTGTGTGTTTTTATAAGAATTGTTGTGTGATTGTTATTGTTGTGGTTTCTGTGGTTACTGTTTTGGTTATACTTAACAATGGAGAGTACAAATGGCACGAGTGGAAGTACTGAAAGCCAAGGAACAAGTAGACGGCTTCGTAAAGCACTGAAGAGGGACGCGAAAGAAATCGTGCTCAACGTGTTCAATTATCTGAACAGAACTATGTCGCAGGGAGATGCACTCGCGCGTTGTGAAAGTATGACAGTCGTTCCAGAGTGGATCATTCGCAAGGTGGTGCATGAAAAGAAGAAAACTGGAGCTACTACTGATCCAAAGTTTAATTTGAAGGGACGAAAGGCCGTTAAATTGGATGACGATAGCAAAATGGCGTTAAGGCGAACCGTACATTCATTCTTCTTGAGGAATGAGATACCAACCCTCAAGGCTGTACATGCAGCGATCAAGGAAAATGAAATTATACCCCAAATGAGCGTCGAGGTAATGAGGAAATCCATGCACGAAATTAATTTTCGTTACGAAACGCGTAATCGGAAGTCAGTATTGATAGAGAGACCTGAAATAGTCGCCTGGCGTCGAAAATACCTACGCGAAATGATTGAATATAGGCGACAAAGCAGAAAAATCTATTATTTGGACGAGACATGGGTAAATGCAGGTCACACAGTTAAAAAACCCTGGATAGACAAAAACGTAGTGAGTAACCGACAAGCAAGCACTGAAGGTTTGTCAACAGGTCTTCGTGGATCGTCAGGGAAAGGCCAAAGATTGATCGTAACTCATATTGGTAGCGATAGTGGCTTTTTAGAAGAATGTGATTTGATTTTCGTCTCTAAGAAAGGAGGTGATTACCATGACGAAATTAATGCCAGCTGCTTCGAGAGCTGGTTTCAAGGGGTGCTTCAGCGAGTTGAGCCCAACTCTGTGATCGTCATGGATAATGCTTCCTACCATAGTCGTCGAGCCGAACGTGTACCGACAATGGGATCTCGAAAAAGTGACATGCAGCAATGGTTGCGCGAAAAAGGAATCCCGTTTGAGATTCATGTGTGAAAGCGGAATTGTACGAAAAAATTAAACAGCACAAACCTGCGAACATTAGTTACGTGACTGATGAGATGGCCCGTCAATGTGGTGTCACTGTGCTGCGGTTACCGCCCTACCACTGTGAACTGAACCCAATAGGGCTCATGTGAAGGGGTATATTGCGCGCCATAACACAACCTTCAACTTACCAGACGTTAAGGTTTTACTTGAGACTTCCATACAGCTAGTAACTCCCGAAGCTTGGCAGAATGCTATCCGTCATGTTGTGAAGGAAGAAACAAAAATGTGGCAGCTTGACCACCACATCGACACCATCATAGAGCCAGTTATAGTCAATTTCAACGAGGAAAGCGACAGCGACAGTTTATTAGTGTCAGATGTAAGTGGAAGCGACGATGAATAAAGGTAATTCCCAAATTTTTTACTTACAATATGTTTCAAACCACTCTTTATTAAGCATGTGACAAATCTAGTTCACCCATGTTAAACATTGATACCCCGCCTATGAACAGCCGACTACTGGTAGTTAAGTGATGTTCACGTGAACATCGATGAGTCATTACAGTTTTAGATAGTTATAGTATAGGATCTCGCGAGTCAAACCGCACCCTCCCCACCTCTCTCGTAGACGGAGGCGGAGAGTACTACCCATCCCAAAAACGTCCATCCTCTCTGCCGCACCCTGTATTTAACAAGGGAATACGTCTAACATATCTCACATCATTATATGTATTTGAAAAATTAAAAACACAAAAACAACAATAACCACACAACTAGATGCTTGGTTTTCCATTCCTTAACTCGTTTGTAACCTTTTGCTCGATCTTTTCCGCGTCAATTTGTATCTGAAAGAATTTTATATTTTATAAATAATCATACGAGTAATGGTTGCACGCATACCGTGTCGTTCAAGTTGCTAAACTTATTGTTGTTCTCCTCTTTTCCCAATCCATCAAGATATTTCTTCCTTAAGTATAGAACTGTGTCAATGTGGGTTTTGTGCTTTACTGCTAAATCCAAAGCCCTAAAAAATTCAAATGCTCAAGGATCGCATACAGTGGAAAATGTTTTATAGCCGTATCGTCAGTCCTTCCTACAATTCTTGTAGGACGCTTTTATCGCCTCCTTGATTTCCATAGTCTTTTCTTTCCTACAGAAAGGCTGAGTTATTTCTAGATTTCTTCCGTTCCGTGTCAGCGTCAGCGGAAGTTTGATGCAAATAGAGTCCCACAATTGTAGGAACGACTGACGATATGTCTTTAAGAATAATGGAGGCAAAAAACACCTAGGTAAAGAGTAATGTTATTTGAAATTGTATTTTTGAAATATACTGTATAGTGACATATAAATCCGAACACCCAGTTTAGATGGTTTTATTTTAATAAAATTTTGTATGAGTACTTAATGAAGCATAATAAGTAAATGATAAAAATTTCAAAATGATCGCACTGCTTTAAAGCCCTTTGACCTTTAATAATGTGTGGATGCACCCTGATGTGCTACGCATTCTCCAATGCGCCTAGGCATGCTTCTGATCAGGTGGTCAACGTCCTCCTGTGGTATCTCATTCCAGGCAACCACCAACTCCTCTCGAAGTGCTTCTAGAGTCTGAGGAGGACGTTGCAAATTGAGCAATCTCCTACCCATCATATCCCACACGTGCTCAATTGGGGATAAGTCGGGAGATCTTGGTGGCCATGGTAAAAATGTGACATGATTATGTTGAAAGAAGTCTATTGTGACTCTTGCAAGATGTGGTCGGGCATTATCTTGTTGAAAAGTTGGATCTGCCAGGATGTCAAGATAGGGTAAAAGATGTTGTTATAGAACTTCGTGGATATAACGCTGCGCGTTCATGTTACCTCTAATGAAGATTAAAGGTGACCTGGAACCATAAGCTATAGAACCTCAAACCATAACTCCAACAGTGTGATGAACATGTCTTTCAACGAAAAACTGTGGATTCCTCCTTTCACCACGTCGCCTTCTAACCCTGGCACGACCATCGTGCATGCCTAAAGAAAATCGAGACTCGTCACTAAAGACAATACTGTTCCATTCCTGATCCCAGAGTGACCGTTGTCTGCACCACTCAAGGCGATTACATCGGTGTTCTCGAGTTAAAGGGAGGACGCAGTGTGGCCGGTATGAAAACAAGCCAAAACTTCTCATTCGTCGGTAAACACTTCGCATGCCAATAGGTCTTCCGTGTTCTGCAAACCATTCATTTGCAATGGACCTGGTAGTGGAGAAACGGTCCCTTAAGGCCAATAATCTTAGGCGGCGATCTTCACGGTCTGTTGTTCTACGGCGGCGTCCAGTGCCCCTTGCTCTTTGCGTACGGCCTTCTCGAAGCCATGCCTGACAACACCTAACCACAGTGTCTACACTTCTTTGCACTCTAACTGCAATTGCCCGAAAAGAAAGTCCAGCTTCCCGAAGTCACACTATATGGGCCCTATCAAACTCACTAAGTTGACGAAATCGTACAGGTCTCCGTACTCTAGGCATCGTAACCGATCGTAAAGGATGTCAAGAACCAAAATCCGCCAACGTTGATTCTTTACTGCGGCTGAAATATTCATTTTTAGAGCGTTAGTGAATTAAAAAAAAGCAGTATAAAAACCGGAATGTCCAACTGATAAGGCTGAAAATTTTTTCACTTATTATTTACAGTAAGATAAATACATTCACCAATTTTTATTAAAATAAAACCATTTAAACTGGGTGTTCGGATTTATATGTCACTTAGTATTTGAAAGTTTGATGCAAATAGATTCCCACAATTGTAGGAACGACTGACGATATGTCTCTAAGAATAATGGAGGCAAAAAACACCTAGGTAAAGAGTAATGTTATTTGAAATTTTATTTTTGAAATATTCTAGAACGATCGAGAAGTAAGTAATCAAACAGATGATACTGTGAATGTAAACTAATTATTTGACATCAAAAGATGTATAAAAATAACCCATCCGTTATGGAACAAGCAGTGTAGTGAGAGTGAATAATGAAAAGTTATTGTGCATCGAATATTAACCGTTTCCCGAAATCGCTGAGCTATTCACGGAAAGATAATAAAGAATTACCTGGTCCAGTTATGTAAGGATACGTTTACATAGATTGCTTGAAAAATCATTCCATTATGGAGCAAAATCGATTCTGAATCTTGAACTCTTCCACCGAGTAGAGCTAGCTGAGCTTTTTGCTCTGCTTGAGATGGCAAAGTCTAAAAATTAATTGTGGGCATTACCATAAGCTAACGTATTCAACCTAATCGAAAAACCGTGCAGGTTCCAAATTCCTCGACATAGACTCATGCTTCTTGTAAAAATATTACTTAGCAACGTATTTTTGCGATTTTTTTCGGAAAAATTAAATGCCCTTCTGATATTACTTATGATTATTTCCCTCGTCTTAAATTCTGCCAATCACAAACGCGCAATTTTGAATTACAAATGGTTTCTAGATGAAAAAATTGTACGACAGCACATGTCTGCAGTTTTTTCGAGCTTACCCGCGGCAAAACTTGACAGTTGTTGTCACCCAAAATTACAATACCTTTGATACGAGGGCTGTCTTTGAAGTTTTGCATATAGAAACATAGTAGGCCGCGCGGATCCAACGTCCTTACTGTATCTTAACCTCACTCTTTAGTAAACTTAAATTCAAAGTTTCAGAACAATACTACAGTGTGTTCATACTACAGTGAATTTTTAACTGTCACCAAGTCATTAGAAAAATGGAGCTCAACCGAGAACATTTTCACGCCATAATTTATTACAGCTTTCAGAGACAATTATCGCAACAAGAATGCCTTGCTGAGTTACTGTCTGTTTTCGGCAACGAAGCGCCACATCAATCGATGCTGTGCGCAAACGCATCGTTGAAGATAGACATGTTACATATCGCGAGATTGAGGCGTCCTTGAAGATCTCAAAGACCTCAAATCAAAAAATCTGACATGAAGAATTAGGAGTAAGAAAATTAGTTACTCGTTGGATACCCCACCTGTTGACTGAAGAGCAAAAAGCAGCTAAGGTTAATTGGTGTCAAAAAACGGTAAACCGTTTCAATTCTGGTAACTCAAAAAATGTGTATTGTATTGTTAGTGGTGATGAATCGTGGATTTACTGTTATGAACCAAAAAATAAACGACAGTCGGCTGTTTGAGTGCTCCGAGGTGAAGAAACGCCATCAAAAGTCATCCGTTCTCGAAGTGTTTCGAAAAGGATGATCGCGACATTTGTGTCAAAAGCGGGTCATATTGCAGCAATTCCTCTTAATGAGCAAAGAACTGTTACTGCGGATTGGTATAGCACCATTTGTTTGCCAAAAGTCATCACCGAGCTTCGAAAAATCAACCCCGAAAGAAGAATCATCCTACACCAAGACAATGCAAGCTCGCACACAGCCCAAAAAACAAGGCAGTATTTAACGGAAGAAAACGTGGAATTATTGGACCATCCTCCATATAGTCCCGATATAAGTCCTAATGATTTCTTTACTTTCCCGAAAATTAAAAACAAACTGCGTGGCCAAAGGTTCCAGTCAGCAAAAGAAGCAGTTGACGCATTTAAAAATTTTGGATCTGCCAGCAAACAAGTGGAATAAGTGCTTCGAAAATTGGTTCAAGTGCATGCAGATGTGTATTAATCTTCGTGGAGAATACCTCGAAAAACAATAAAGTCATTTAAAACTACCTAACGTGTTGTTTTATTTCCATATGCAAAACTTAAAAGACATCCCTCGTAACAGGTAACGCTAAACAATTTTTCTGATTTTATTGTCAATAAATTTCGTAATATTGTTTTTAGTATGCAGAATAATCTGTTACTCATGAAATAGTCTTGGCAATATTTCGGGCATCCAATTTTTTCCTGTGAAAAAAATCGAAAAAAACACATTGCGAAGTAATATATTTTCTTAAAAAAAAAACAAAAAACATTCGTGCAGGTGCAAAAATTTGAGTCGAAGAATTTCTATCAATCACAAACGCGCAATTTTTAATTACAAATGGTTTCTAGATGGTAAAATTGCATGACAGCACCTGTGAGCAGTCTTTGCAAGCTTACCCGCGGCAGAACTTGACAGCTGTTGTTACCAAAAACTACAATACCGTCGTAAACAAGTAATTATGGTCTTCTAGGACACCAGGAATCTTTTACTCATGAAATAGCCTTCGGGCATCTAATTATTTTCGTAAAAATCAGATGACCTTATGATAATACTTAAATATATATATATACTAAGTGACATATAAATCCGAACACCCAGTTTAAATGGTTAATAAAATTTTGTATAAGTACTTAATGAAGCATAATAAGTAAATGATAAAAATTTCAAAATGATTGCACTGCTTTAAAGCCCTTTGACCTTTAATAATGTGTGGATGCACCCTGATGTGCGCATTCTCCAACGCGCCTAGGCATGCTTCTGATCAGGTGGTCAATGTCCTCCTGTGGTATCTCATTCCAGGCAACCACCACCTCCTCTCGAAGTGCTTCTCGAGTCTGAGGAGGACGTTGCAAATTGAGCAATCTCCTACCCATCATATCCCACACGTGCTCAATTGGGATAAGTCGGGAGATCTTGGTCGCCATGGTAACAATGTGACATCATTATGATGAAAGAAGTCTATTGTGACTCTTGCAACATGTGGTCGGGCATTATCTTGTTGGAAAGTTGGATCTGCCAGGGTGTCAAGATAGGGTAAAAGATGGGGTTCTAGAACTTCGTGGATATAACGCTGCGCGTTCATGTTACCTCTGATGAAGATTAAAGGTGACCTGGAACCATAAGCTATAGCACCCCAAACCATAACTTCAACAGTGTGATGAACATGTCTTTCAACAAAAAACTGTGGATTCCTCCTTTCACCACGTCGCCTTCTAACCCAGGCACGACCATCGTGCATGCCTAAACAAAATCGAGACTCGTCACTAAGGACAATACTGTTCCATTCCTGATCCCAGAGTGACCGTTGTCTGCACCACTCAAGGCGATTACGTCGGTGTTCTCGAGTTAAAGGGAGGACCCAGTGTGGCCGGTATGAAAACAAGCCAAAACTTCTCATTGGTCGGTAAACACTTCGCATGCCAATAGGTCTTCCGTGTCCAGCAAACCATTCATTTGCAAAGGACCTGGTAGTGGAGAAACGATCCCTTAAGGCCAATAATCTTAGGCGGCGATCTTCACGGTCTGTTGTTCTACGGCGGCGTCCAGTGCCCCTTGCTCTTTGCGTACGGCCTTCTCGAAGCCATGCCTGACAACACCTGACCACAGTGTCTACACTTCTTTGCACTCTAACTGCAATTGCCCGAAAAGAAAGTCCAGCTTCCCGAAGTCCCACTATACGGCCCCTATCAAACTCACTAAGTTGACGAAATCGTACAGGTCTTCGTACTCTAGGCATCGTAACCGATCGTAAAGGATGTCAAGAACCAAAATCCGCCAACGCTGCGGCTGAAATATTCATTTTTAGAGCGTTAGTGAATTAAAAAAAAGCAGTATAAAAACCGGAATGTCCAATTGATAAGGCTGAAAATTTTTTCACTTGTTATTTACTGTAAGATAAATACATTCACCAATTTTTATTAAAATAAAACCATTTAAACTGGGTGTTCGGATTTATATGTCACTTAGTATATATATACGTATAAGTATATTGATGGCCAACATGGGTAAGCAATTTTCAAAGAACAAATGTCATGGACACTTTTTTTTCTTAATAATAAATATTATCCGACACAGTTGATTTCGTTTTTCATGGTTCTGAAGAAAGCACCTCTAAGACTCGATTTTACTAAGCTGGAGCCACAAAGAAGCACGTGGGTTACTAATTCAACCAACGAGAAGGTGTTTTGAAATAATAGATCTAATGAACATGGTCGATTTCTTGTAAAATGTCTTTCAAATTAGAGAAAAATTATACGATTCGTGTAAGATGAGCCACCAGTTCCCATATTTAATCAAAAAATAGTTGATAAATCACTTGGTTTAGCTTCAAAAACTTAATGGCGTCATGTCAATCTATTGCATCGAGTTTGATCCATGTTTCAAATCCTTTTTGATTGATTGTATTTAAGTCAACCTTTGTGGCCGGACTCAAATGGAAAATTTTTCTAGCTGAACTATGTCGTGAATGAGGTATACTAAGTGATATATAAATCCGAACACCCAGTTTAAATGGTTTTATTTTAATAAAAGTTGGTGAATGAATTTATCTTACTGGAAATAACAAGTGAAAAAATTTTCAGCCTTATCAGTTGGACATTCCGGTTTTTATACTGCTTTTTTTTAATTCACTAACGCTCTAAAAATGAATATTTCAGCCGCAGTAAAGAATCAACGTTGGCGGATTTTGGTTCTTGACTTCCTTTACGATCGGTTACGATGCCTAGAGTACGGAGACCTGTACGATTTCGTCAACTTAGTGAGTTTGATAGGGGCCGTATAGTGGGACTTCGGGAAGCTGGACGTTCTTTTCGGGCAATTGCAGTTAGAGTGCAAAGAAGTGTAGACACTGTGGTTAGGTGTTGTCAGACATGCCTTCGAGAAGGCCGTACGCAAAGAGCAAGGGGCACTGGACGCCGCCGTAGAACAACAGACCGTGAAGATCGCCGCCTAAGCTTATTGGCCTTAAGGGACCGTTTCTCCACTATCAGGTCCATTGCAAATGAATGGTTTGCAGAACACGGAAGACCTATTGGCATGCGAAGTGTTTACCGACGAATGAGAAGTTTTGGCTTGTTTTCATACCGGCCACACTGAGTCCTCCCTTTAACTCGAGAACACCGACGTAATCGCCTTGAGTGGTACAGACAACGGTCACTCTGGGATCAGGAATGGAACAGTATTGTCTTTAGTGACGAGTCTCGATTTTGTTTAGGCATGCACGATGGTCGTGCCAGGGTTAGAAGGCGACGTGGTGAAAGGAGGAATCCACAGTTTTTTGTTGAAAGACATGTTCATCACGCTGTTGGAGTTATGGTTTGGGGTGCTATAGCTTATGGTTCCAGGTCAACTTTAATCTTCATCGGAGGTAACATGAACGCGCTGCGTTATATCCACGAAGTTCTAGTACCCCATCCTTTACCCTATCTTGACACGCTGGCAGATCCAACTTTCCAACAAGATAAGATATCGACTTCTTTCAACATAATGATGTCACATTGTTACCATGGCCACCAAGATCTCCCGACTTATCCCCAATTGAGCACGTGGGGGATATGATGGGTAGGAGATTGCTCAATTTGCAACGTCCTCCTCAGACTCTAGAAGAACTTCGAGAGGAGTTGGTGGTTGCCTGGAATGAGATACCACAGGAGGACATTGACCACCTGATCAGAAGCATGTCTAGGCGCGTTGGAGAATGCGTAGCACATCAGGGTGCATCCACACATTATTAAAGGTCATAGGGCTTTAAAGCAGTGCAATCATTTTGAAATTTTTATCATTTACTTATTATGCTTCATTAAGTACTTATTATTATTAAAAGAAAACCATTTAAACTGGGTGTTCGGATTTATATGTCACTTAGTATATTTCTGGATTTAATATAAAAATTAGGAGGCATAAATCGTATAATTTTTCTCTAGTTTGACAGACATTTCACAAGAAATCGACCAAGTTCATTAGATCCATTACCTCAAAGACGCCTTCTTATTGGTCTAATTTGTGCCAAAGGCGCAAATGTTGCTTCCCGCCATTCAACAATAAAACCGGGCTTAAACGATTTAGCCATCATTATTGTCTCAAATGTCACATTGAAACAGCAGCCGCGGTGTCCCGGCATTTAGGCTTCTGCCTGCGCGGCTGCTTCGGTATAAAAAAAGGTGCTGCCTTGTTTGCCGTATGTTACAAAAACAGACATGGTGGACGTACCTTAATAAACTGAAGATAAAGTACTTTTTCATGGTGATTTATGTTAGCATAAGCTTCTTCGGCGATGTCTATCAAATTCGACCGAGATTGAGTTGCTAGAACCGCTAGGCAAGCCCAAGCAGTTTCACTATTGGCAGTTCTACAGAGGTTCAAAGCGTCAGACCACTTATTTTCTTGAACGTTACTGGAAAATACAATGCTTAACAGTTACGTAACTTGATTTCTATAATTACTGTTTAGTCGTGGATATTCCCAACTATCGTCGCTGCTGTTAGGGCTGACAAAACGTTTATTCAGTATTCTTTACATTGTAAGTAGCGACAGCCTTAGCAAAGCGTTCTTAGATCAGCTATATAACCGAAATGGACGCATCTAATAGGACACTTCAGTCACTTAAGATCTTGTATATGGGCTGGAGGTAACAATTATACAACAACAGTGACACTCTTGTATCTACTTAATAACCTTTGTATCAGTGGACACATTACATTCATCTTGTTTATTGACATACTGGCCATTGTGAAATTCGTACACAGATTTATTATAAGCTTCTTCACTGTAATAGAGGAAAGTCAATTTTCTGTAACGAACAACAGCTTTTGTAATTATTTGTTCGCACTCAAGGTGTGCTACTACTTAAACAAAAACACGTGATGTGTACTATAACATTTATTTTACCCATAAAAGGCATAAAACTTAGGCACTAGTAAAAAATGGCACTCTCTCAAATAAAATTGGATACCCTATCCAATATTAGGAACCTATTTTTCCGAACAAAAATTGTACGCGTAAGCGTTTCTTGTCACTACCAGCACAGTCTTCATGTGACCATCTGAAGCAAATTGAGCACTAAGCCCCGTTTTCTCCATGTTGGTCCTCTGAATAACGTGCACTGCAGAAAATACACTCTGCGTCACTCTCTTGATCGACATCCATATCTGAGTCGTCTTCATAAGGAACATCTTCTGAGGAGTCAGAAGATTCACTTTCGTCTTCTATTTTATTTAGATTTTAGATATGAAAATAATCACGGCACCTACTTATTTTTTTCCTCTCAGGGTGATCACTCTAGCAATCTTGGATTGTACTGTGGTGATGCCAGTTTCGTCAATTATTAGAAGCTCTCAGTGGATTAAAATGTATCTTCTTCATAGTTAGTTCCAGGATACCGAAGAAAATGTTGATATACTAAGTGACATATAAATCCGAACACCCAGTTTAAATGGTTTTATTTTAATAAAAGTTGGTGAATGTATTTATCTTACTGTAAATAACAAGTGAAAAAATTTTCAGCCTTATCAGTTGGACATTCCGGTTTTTATACTGCTTTTTTTTAATTCACTAACGCTCTAAAAATGAATATTTCAGCCGCAGTAAAGAATCAACGTTGGCGGATTTTTGTTCTTGACATCCTTTACGATCGGTTACGATGCCTATAGTACGGAGACCTGTACGATTTCGTCAACTTAGTGAGTTTGATAGGGGCCGTATAGTGGGACTTCGGGAAGCTGGACTTTCTTTTCGGTCAATTGCAGTTAGAGTGCAAAGAAGTGTAGACACTGTGGTTAGGTGTTGTCAGGCATGGCTTCGAGAAGGCCGTACGCAAAAAGCAAAGGGCACTGAACGCCGCTGTAGAACAACCGTGAAGATCGCCGCCTAAGATTATTGGCCTTAAGGGACCGTTTCTCCACTACCAGGTCCATTGCAAATGAATGGTTTGCATAACATGGAAGACCTATTGGCATGCGAAGTGTTTACCGACGAATGAGAAGTTTTGGCTTGTTTTCATACCGGCCACACTGGGTCCTCCCTTTAACTCGAGAACACCGGCGTAATCGCCTTGAGTGGTGCAGACAATGGTCACTCTGGGATCAGGAATGGAACAGTATTGTCTTTAGTGACGAGTCTCGATTTTGTTTAGGCATGCACGAAGGTCGTGCCAGGATTAGAAGGCGACGTGGTGAAATGAGGAATCCACAGTTTTTTGTTGAAAGACATGTTCATCACACTGTTGGAGTTATGGTTTGGGGTGCTATAGCTTATGGTTCCAGGTTACCTTTAATCTTCATCAGAGGTAACATGAACGCGCAGCGTTATATCCACGAAGTTCTAGAACCCCATCTTTTACCCTATCTTGACACCCTGGCAGATCCAACTTTCCAACAAGATAATGCCCGACCACATGTTGCAAGAGTCACAATAGACTTCTTTCAACATAACGATGTCACATTGTTACCATGGCCACCAAGATCTCCCGACTTATCCCCAATTGAGCACGTGTGGGATATGATGGGTAGGAGATTGCTCAATTTGCAACGTCCTCCTCAGACTCTAGAAGCACTTCGAGAGGAGTTGGTGGTTGCCTGGAATGAGATACCACAGGAGGACATTGACCACCTGATCAGAAGCATGCCTAGGCGCGTTGGAGAATGCGTAGCACATCAGGGTGCATCCACACATTATTAAGTGCAGTGCAGTCATTTTGGAATTTTTATCATTTACTTATTATGCTTCATTAAGTACTTATACAAAATTTTATTAAAATAAAACCATTTAAACTGGGTGTTCGGATTTATATGTCACTTAGTATATTTTCAGGGGTAAAAGTTTTTATTCTATTTCATGAAATTCCCTGTGGTTTTCTCAGAGATAGATTGGGATGACGTCTCAAAAAATTTCGGAGCCATTTTTTACCATCATTGCCATTTTGAGAAGGGATGAGGATCTTTATTTCTTATAGCAAGCTGTTATGCCAGTCTGCGAATATCTGAAAGCCTTAGACCATAATATCTTCTGTCCATTTCTAAACAGTACTATACCAAGTTTTCTGCCATTTCAGTTGATAAAGTGGTTTTCGACCCATCCGCAGCGAGCATTGTTTTTCCAATGATTTTCCACGTTTGACGTATAGTTCGAGAGTCGACTTTGGAGCGCTGAAGCTGTTTGATTTTACTTGAAGAAATGTATAGGTAAATATATTTTGAAACACATATAACTGGGTTCCTAATTTTGCATATACAGTCTGAAGACATTTTGTTCATCCAAAATTAGGCAACGTTCATATTCAAGGTTGTGATTAATTTAAAAAAAGCTTTGACAGAAATATCCGATTCAGATACGTGGGTTCATTCTAACAATATCCCAGTACATTCGTGCGAATTTCAATTAAATACTCTCAATAGTTACCTTTTTTCAGAATGTGTACCAGGTCTGTAGTATCCTTTTGAAAAGCTGATAAAGCGTTTACAACGAATATTATTGTGTTAGGTTATGGTGAAGTTGTACATCTATATATTATGCAACAAATGTATGTCGAGCACAGCAACTTTGTGCTATAAAAGTTGAGCAACTTGTTGATGAAAGTAATAATTTTGCACCCGAAAACAGCAAGGCTCGGGCTTGTACAAATGTTACCATGGATGCAACAACCCAACTATTTTGACTACCGCACTAATATGTCGTATAAAATAGTTGTTCAAAGGTTTATGCAACAGTTCAAAATTATCGTTTAAGGTGTTGTATAACAATGCTGCAAAAGTATTTTTTACATCTCATTTAAGAGCAAAAAATATGCTGCAGGAAGCAAATTTGCATGTCGTACAATATTAGGCCAGCGTTTTGGTGCTCCGGCAACAACAAACAAGAGCTTTGACGGTTTAACATTTCTTAACTTATAGCACCAATTTGCTAGTTGGGTTGATACGAACTCAAACGGAAAACTTTATGTTAATGGTGAGTTTGACTACTCGTATGTGAGCGGGCAGCATTAGGTATATGGTAACTTGTACGTACCGGTGGATCAAACCAGGGAACGGCGATATCGGTATATTCAACAGAGAACCATCGGCTCGTCTAACTGAAACGGAATTATCTGAAATGCATATCATTGCTTTAGTATAAAATGTGTACCAGTTTTTAACCTGGAAGTAGACAAAAGAAGTTAATAATCCAAAGCATCAACACTTAACTAACTCAGTTTGATGAAAGCTCCTGGCATCTTTCTTACAGCTTGCTCTATGTGTATTTAGTTCAGGTGAAGCAATGGGTCCTTTTAAGCTAGGCTTCAAATAAGCTTTTTAACAATTAGAGGTATTTTCGCGAGTTTGGAGAGTCACGGTAAGACTGCAAGTTGTCCAAAATATGGACGCATGAAATGGGCACACCAATTTTTGTGGGAAAACTTTTTATTCGACAACAAAAAATGAGCAGGAACTTAGAAACTCTCCATAGGAGATTTTTAGGTATTTATAAGACCTACAAAATGAGACCACACATAAAAAGATCCGGCTAATAGCAAAAAAGTTATGGCCAAAAACCGAGGCAAACTACAGGTCTTGGCACTGGTTGGTAATGCGACGATGGTTTCTCGTAGATATTTGGAATTCTTCAAATTCGTGGGGCTCGTACTCCTTAATAACCACAACAAAATTGGAGTAGATTGGTGAAGTAGTTTTTGAGAATTTCTAATTTCTTGTCCCAAAACACCTATTTTCTGGCCATCACTACTAGTTTATTGAACAGTATACATGGTTAGTTCAAAGGGCAGTTTATAGCAAAATACACTAGCTTACTTTGCTGATATGAATAGCAAACCATTCCGGAAGATGAATGTTATTTTTATGCACAAAAGGATGGGTTACGTTTTTTCTTCTAAACAAATTCAAACATACCGTATTTATTATTATTATTATTATTATTATTATGATAATTGAGATGAGCAGAGTACACTGTACTATAAGCTCATGCAGTAAATATAGTGTACGGACGCGTAACACAAATACATCAAATAGAAAAAAATAAAAATACAGGTCATAGCTATAAAGTTTGTACACTCCTCCAGCTATCATACTGCACTTTGAAGCTATTAACTGAAGTAGCACCAACCACACTTTCAGGTAAACTATTCCAGGTGTTGAATATGCGGTTGGGAATAAACCACTGTCGGACTGTTGTTTTAAATGGCTCCTTATGCAGTTTGAAGCTGTGTCCGCGTAGATTGCTGCGCGACAGACGGTATAGATGCATGAGGTTGGTGCCCATCAAACCATGAAGTATCCTGAACGTAACTATAAGATCGCCACGAAGTCTTCGCTCAGAGAATGAGGTCAGGTTGAATAATTCAAGGCGATCTTCATAGCTTGGTCTTCGTGCTCCAAAAAGGATACGAGTAGCCCGACGCTGTACTGATTCGACGAGATTTCTATCGCGCAGAAGCACAGTGTCCCATACCGGGCCAGCGAATTCAAGAATTGACCTCACGAATGCCTTGTAAATGTAGGCGCAAGTGTTGACATCGGATCCTTTGAAAGACCTCTCCAGCATGTATGGAAGTTTCTTGGCTTTTGATGTAACGTGGTGAATATGCTCTGACCAGGAAAGACTATCGTTGACTACAACGCCCAGATCAGTGTGGCTGAAAACTGCTTCGATGTTGTGGTCAGAGATCTTGTATGTAAATCGCGGATTTGTCTTCCCGAGGTGAAGGACACAACACTCAGTTAGATTTAAGGGTAAAAGCCAACTGACTGACCATTGACAAACAATATCAAGATCTCGTTGAAGCATAGCAGAATTTACGACAGTATTGTAAATCTTGGTGTCGTCGGCATAAGCTGAATATGTGGAGGAAATCAATGCGGGCAGGTCACTTGTATACAGAAGGAACAGCACTGGCCCCAAGACCGAGCCTTGAGGAACTCCACTTGCTACATAATGAAGGTGAGACTGGCTATCACTGACGCGCACAGAGAAAGTCCTCCCTGTGAGAAAAGCCTTAATCCACAGTAACAACTCGCCTCTTATTCCCATACATTCCAACTTAAACAGAAGCCTTCTATGTGGTACGCGATCGAAAGCCCTAGAAAAATCTAAGTAGATTATATCAACAGGAGTCTTTGTGTCCAGATACTGAGTCCAATCGTTGAGAGAGTAGAGAAGGTTGGTCATTATTGATCGACCAGGGAGAAATCCATGCTGATTCTTAGGGATAAGGTTATTTTCGGAAGCAAATGACAGGAGCTTATCTAATATGATTCTTTCAGCTATTTTGGCGGCGATAGGAACGAGAATTATTGGTCGATAATTTTTAGCGGAGGATGTATCGCCCTTTTTGAATACAGGGGTAACAGAAGCACTAAGCCAGGATGAGAGTAGGGTATGAGATCTAAAAGACGATGTGAATATCAAGCTTAATAGTAGGGCCAGTGCTGAAGCGCAGTTTTTAAATACAGCAGCCGTCATCCCATCTTTACCAGGGGAGGAAGAGGTCTTCTGATTTCGCAGGTGCATTAGTACATCTTCAGGCAGGAACTCAACTTCGCAAAGGCTGTTGGGACACCTATGGCAGATAGTGGTCGGTAGAAGGTCTCCATTAGGCTTATCGACGAAGTCATCACTAAAGGACTCTAGTAAGTTGGCAGATTCGGTGGCATCCATGTGGAGATGACCGTCAGCGTCGCGGATCTGAGGTGATGAAACTTTGGAATTCAGGTTTGTTCTTAGATACCGAAACAGCTTCTTCTTATTTTTGGAGGTAACGAGTTTTCGTTCATAAGCATGTTTGGCATTATGTAACGTTCTAGATAGGAGGTTAGAAAAGGATCGATGAGACACGTAATCTTGTGAATGGCCACTCCTCCTAAGCCGTTGCCACAAAGATATCTTGTGACGAAGCATCCTCGATATGTTAGAGTTGAGGGCTTTGAGGGGTCACAGTATACCTTCTTTTCAACAGTATTGTCAGCCGTTTCGCTTAGGACTCGTTGAGCGAAAGTGTCCCACATATCTTGGGTGCTACGGTTGTTAAGCAAAGTAGGCCAGTTGACTTCAGACAGGGCTTGGTTAAGAGCATCGTGGTTTACAATTTTGGTGGTTTTAAACGTATCGGTTGTAGAACGACAATTTACATTGAACTGGAGAGAAGATAAAAGTGAACAGTGGTCAGAGGTGGCAAATAATCTAAATTAGAAACAAAGTCGGCGTCGTTAACGAATATCAAATCCAGAGCCCTAGGCGTCTGTCCTTCCCTGAATCTCGTTGGACGATCAACAAGTTGATATATGCTAGAGTTGCGTAGCAAGTCGATGTAAGCAGCAGAAGAAGAATTGCATTCAGGAATGGTTGACATAGGCCAGCTAATGTCACGTAGATTGAAGTCACCAGCCATGAAAAGGTTGGTGTTTTTATTTAAGAGATCTGAAATGAGTAATTTACAATAAAAGATGATAGAAACATCCGCTTTGTTTTAAAATGGTAAATTATTTTAGTCAAATTGCTTCTGAAAGTGGTACAAACTAATCTGATGTACCTACTAAAGTCTACTTTAAGCTTTAAATCAATAAATCTTCAAAACTATTGAACTGAAGCTCATTTATATTACATCATTATAAAGGGAATTGAAAGACCTTTAAAATAAGGTCTCACTCGACCCCCCTTTCCATTTAAGATTTTAGGGTTGGTGTCACCCCCGCCCAGGGGGCTGCACGTGTTAGCGTGATTTTTTGCCAAACTTGTGTCCCCCTCGAATACAAAATCGACGGGACTGAGCGTTTTTCAAAAAAAAAACACTGAGCTACCAGTAAAGCATCTGTTTCGTTTTCGATGCGCCACAATGTATTACAATCATTGCTTACAATACTTACCAACAAAGTCGTTAATCCTTGGGTCACGACCTAGTTCCACCGATTCATATTGCAGCGAACAGAGTTTCAGAAGCTTTGAGTTGAAAGCAGCACTAGGGCAATACCAAACTACCAGTTGAGTATCTTGTATAGCAGCTATCATACTGTGAGTAGCAGACCATTGGAAAGATTCAATCTTCCTTCCTGAAATTATCGCGCTACACTACACCAAAAGAGACAGTGAAAATAATATTGAAGCTTGATGACACTCTACGACGAGGTACTGATATGTAATTGGCCCTAACCATGCACAAACCAAAAGCACGTTACCTTAGCAACAATTTATTATAAGTGTCGTTGCATTGTGGAGTAATAAAAGTGTTTGGAAATGGAATATTGTTGAAATATGGGCTGAGAGGTAGGGTGCTGAGGGTTTCTAAGATCCTGGGAATGTAGGATATGGGGAAGTGTTATCAATATGATAGGACTTCTGCTCTTCTGCCTGTGACATATTCGGGGACTAAAAGGCCTGTCTGATCAGTTAATGCAAGGCTCATTACCGCCCAGTCAGTCAAGATAAGCCACGTCACTTCCATATAGGATGTATCACTCAAAAAATTGACTTGACCTTCACCATAAGAATCAAGGTCACGGACACGGTCAAATGCATGTTCACCATTGGCCAGTCTAGAATAAATCTTGAAAACAGTTCGAGCTAAGCCTTCTCTGTCAATATGTAATGCGTTACGGTAATCACCTTATCAATGCGCTCTCATCTGGGTACTATAGGAGGTAGGGGAGGGGTTTCTTGATCATGACCTTCAAATGTTTCGTTTTCGAAATGCTCAAGTACTACGTGAAAATGTTCCGCTTTGTTCATTTTCCTGGTGAAAAGTAGGATATACGACTCTTAAAAATTAGCCTGACCTTGACCATAATCTTCAAGGTCACTATCAATGTTAAATCCATTATCACTACTGGCCAGTCTCCTTTCTACAGTATGTTTCACTTCTTCTCTAATAATATCATTTTAGGACTGACGTCGATCTTCGATATCTATACTAAGTGACATATACTCGTAAATCCGAACACCAAGTTTAAATGGTTTTATTTTAATAAAATTTTGTATAAGTACTAATTGAAGCATAATAAGTAAATGATAAAAATTTCAAAATGATTGCACTGCTTTAAAGCACTTTGACCTTTAATAATGTGTGGATGCACCCTGATGTGCTACGCATTCTCCAACGCGCCTAGGCATGCTTCTGATCAGGTGGTCAATGTCCTCCTAAGGTATCTCATTCCAGGTAACCACCAACTCCTCTCGAAGTGCTTCTAGAGTCTAAGGAGGACGTTGCAAATCTCCTACCCATCATATCCCACACGTGCTCAATTAAGGATAAGTCGGGAGATCTTGGTGGCCATTGTAACAATGTGATCATTATGTTGAAAAAAGTCTATTGTGACTCTTGCAACATGTGGTCGGACATTATCTTGTTGGAAAGTTGGATCTGCCAGGGTGTCAAGATAGGGTAAAAGATGGGGTTCTAAAACTTCGTGGATATAACGCTGCGCCTTCATGTTACCTCTGATGAAGATTAAAGGTGACCTGGAACCATAAGCTATAGCACCCCAAACCATAACTCCAACAGTGTGATGAACATGTCTTTCAACAAAACACTGTGGATTCCTCCTTTGACCACGTCGCCTTCTAACCCTGGCACGACCATCGTGCATGCCTAAACAAAATCGAGACTTGTCACTAAAGACAATACTGTTCCATTCCTGATTCCAGAGTGACCGTTGTCTGCACCACTCAAGGCGATTACGTCCGTGTTCTCGAGTTAAAGGGAGGACCCAGTGTGGCCGGTATAAAAACAAGCCAAAACATCTCATTCGTCGGTAAACACTTCGCATGGCAATAGGTCTTCCGTGTTCTGCAAACCATTCATTTGCAATGGACCTGGTAGTGGAGAAACGGTCCCTTAAGGCCAATAATCTTAGGCGGCGATCTTCACGGTCTGTTGTTCTACGGCGGCGTCCAGTGCCCCTTGCTCTTTGCGTACGGCCTTCTCGAAGCCATGCCTGACAACACCTAACCACAGTGTCTACACTTCTTTGCACTCTAACTGCAATTGCCCGAAAAGAAAGTCCAGCTTCCCGAAGTCCCACTATACGGCCCCTATCAAACTCACTAAGTTGACGAAATTGTACAGGTCTCCGTACTCTAGGCATCGTAACCGATCGTAAAGGATGTCAAGAACCAAAATCCGCCAACGTTGATTCTTTAGTGCGGCTGAAATATTCATTTTTAGAGCGTTAGTGAATTAAAAAAAAGCGGTATAAAAACTGGAATGTCCAACTGATAAGGCTGAAAATTTTTTCACTTGTTATTTACAGTAAGATAAATACATTCACCAACTTTTATTAAAATAAAACCATTTAAACTGGGTGTTCGGACTTATATGTCACTTAGTATATTAATAACCCACCTTGGGGGCTTCTGGGTTCCTTAGGGGACAAAGGAGGGGCGTCAAGGAGTTGGCCCCGTTGAGACTTTTGACCGCCACGTTGAAAACCACCTCTATGCAAAATTTCAACTAATTTAGCTGAAAGCCATTTTCCCTAAGGAAACTGCCTGGTGCTTCCATGTGCAAAAGTCTGCTGGAAAAGTGTTTTGTGAGCATCGTGGTGTCACTTTCACCGATTACATATACAAGGGGAAAAGCATAACAAGAATATTTTGCAGCATTATTGTCAAAGTTGCGCGAAAAAGTTGTGGAGAAAAAAACGCGGAAAGATTTTCAAAGGGGTTATGTTCTTGCACCAGCACACAAATCGCACGATTCGACGACAAAGCTTCACGACTTGGATATCGAGATGATGAAACGCTCCCCTTGTTCACGTGACTTGGCATCTTCTGATTATTACCTGTTTCCGAAGCTAAAAAAAGGCCGAAAATTTTCTTCTAACGACAAGGTGTTAGAAGCTGCTGGTTTGCAGACCAAGAGAAAACATTTTTTAGGGGCCATAAGATTGATGTAAAAAGTGTATTGATTTGAATGTTGAATAATGAAATATTTTCAGTGCAAAATTTTCAGTGTTTCTGTAGTAGGCTAGGAATAAATCAATATCCCCTCGTACATAGTAGTCGTCAAATCTAAAAGGCGAATCATAGATCAAAGAGAGGCCTTACCTAGGAGAAACATTGAACATAATCTGCAAGACCATCTTTTTACCTTGTAGTTTCTGTCAGATGATTACACTTACCCAATTTGGTGAACTGTTTGTTTGAACTTCTGAACTGAACCAGATGCAGATCTCTGGTTCGATCTAGAATAGCCAAGGTCCTATCAGATGGATCACCACTTTGATCCAAACTGACTTCAATAATCGGGATGGAATGCTGGATCGAAGTAAAATCGCTTGATGTTCTGTTACTAGACAAATCTGTCAGATGTACAGCTAAAATAATGATACATTACAATCACGTTTCTCCATTTTGTATGACAGCTTGAAAAGGTATCAAGCAATAGGTTTTTATTCATGCAATGTTTGTTGTATATACAAGGTTGCCCAGAAAATGTTATCTAATAGAACTGTAATAAAAAAAATTCTGCATCTCAGTCACTAAAATGTTCCATTTAAGGAAGTATAACTTAATTAAATAGCACTTTTCTGTGATACAAATAAGGCAGCATATGAAAAACTTTGTACTAAACGCTATAACTCACTTTTGGCATCAATAGAGTCTCTCACACCTAGTGTATCCGGTGAAAGTGATATTTGGGATTTCCTTAACGTGTCTAGCCTCATTTTGGGCCATTTTGGCGAAGCAATTAGTCGGCCCTGGTAGTTATAAATGCCCACTGTACTTTTCTCTACTATCAACATGTGCCTACGATAATTACATGATCAAACGAACTTACCTGTAAGTTCGATCTTAATTATGCGCAGTCCTCGTCGAAATAAATAGCTCCCTCTCTCCCTATGTATCACCCAATTGTTGCAACAACTTGGCTTTGAAGTAAATTAAGGTTTATAGGCGGCCAGAGGGAAGAAAGGTAGGGGTGGCGCTTTCCGTCTCTGCGTGGCGGTTGGATACTACTACGAGGGTACTACGACATGTATTCTAAATATTTACTTCGACGAGGACGGAACATAATTAGACATATGGTGTTAGCATTGAATTATATAAAAAGATATCAGCTTCTTCTTCGAAAACAATCCACCACTATCAGCTTTTAAGGGTTATTTTCCCCCTTTCTGTCACCAAAAACACCACATGATTTGTCTACATTACCAAGGATAACAAATTAGAAAAGCTACAACTTGTTGCACGATCAATATCAACATCATAAGGTGGGAAGCTATCAACTAAAATGATTTTTACTTTTGGAGGAGTTAACTCAAAAAATGTTTCAGTAACGACATCTTTTGCTTGAATAGCGTTAAATTTCAAAAAATACTCACTTTTCACATAATAACATTAGAATTACAGATCCATCCTTCAAATCAAATATTGCTGGTGTGTTCCAGTTGTTGGTACCATAAATATAACACTGTCCAGGTGTCGTAAGTACCAAATTATTATATCTGGAATTTGGAAGCCGTGTAGTGTGCCGTACATTTTAGAATGATATTTTTATTGCAACGAACATAAAACGAAATGAAATGATACCGTAACCTAGGCATCATCAGTAGAATTGGTCCAGGCTGTAGTGAAGATCCAACTTTTTATATACTAAAAGCAGCAACTAAATATCGCGACAAGCTTCACTGCCCATTCATAATGATACTATGAGGCATTCTTGGAAAATAAACTGCGATCATATTCGTTCATACTAAAGGCATAAGTATTGCTTACCTCATTTCTATCTGTACAATTCTCTCTCCGACTTCTAACACTTCCTCTGTAGGTTCAGGGCCCATATCTTTGACAACAACAGTCCTTTCACCAGTTACATAAGCCAGATATCTCTCATACCTGTAAAGTTTGAAGTTTGGAAATATCTTGAACAAATCTTACTTTATCGATATGCAAAAAAAATTAATCATCGTAAATGCTAATGGTTCAAAAATGTCAATCTGACTAAAAAAAGATGACTCGAACAAAAGCGTCATTCTTAATTTAAACCACAACACCTTATCTTATGTATGAAGCGCCATATTTATTAATAACTTCCATTGTTATCCTAACGGATACTTTGAGCATAATTTTCACCAATTTCCAGAAGTTTGATTAATTCTAAACTGCGCACACGTATTAAGGACCGACGACCATGCAATAATTTGATAACAGTTCTCCATTATCCTTATTAGGACTGCCAGAATTGATGAGATTGAGTAAGAGTAAGCTTTGGACTTACTCTTTGTTGATTCGGGCACTCGGTACGGCACAACGCAGGCAGATACTTTTTCAAGGTAGTGCATTATCACCTTGTTCATTTCTTATACATGCGTAGGTACTAATGAGTCTACTACACGCGGATTACTGTTTATCATATTCATATAATATATTCACAAAAGGCTCCTTATCCACAACAAAATGATCGGAACATAAATTTCAATCTATGCATTTTTCGGAACAAGATGTGACGAACAGCAAAGCTTTGAACTTACAGTCAATACGAGTTATGTAGCACTTAGTCGTGTAAGATCTCTAGACGGTATTCGGGTTGAAGAACTTGATTGCTCTAAGTTAACAGGAAACTGTTATGCAGGGTGTTTCAGTTTATTGTTGCATAACTTTAAGATCCGATAGAACTTCTGAAATTAATGCATGAAGTCTATATAAACATTGGTCGAAAAAAGCGTGGCTTCCGAAATACAGGGTGTTTAAATTTACTTTCTAAAATAGTTTTTTTTTAATATTTCGAACCATATTTGATGTATAATATTTGTTATACAAGGTTTTTTTGGTACGACAAAACGAACCATGGGCATAGTTTTACTGTAGCCGCTAGAGGGCGCTCTCTACTGTACCTGTAGTGTATTAAAATGACCGAAAATTTTTTCTTAGTGCAATTTTTTGCTTTTTGAATAAAAAACCTGATTCTTCGCACTTTTCAACATAAAAAAGCTCTCCTGTGAGTTTTCGTTATAGTTAGCCGTTTTTGAGATATTTCGATTTTTAAGGTTCGATGCATTTTTAATTATTTATGGGAAAATAATATTTTTTTTACATTTTCGATTTGGGCATTACAAGTAATTAAGATGATCGTTTAGATTGTGTTTTTAAATACAGCAATAATTCCTAACTCCAAATAAACACAAAAAACAATATGAACTTGTTTAATTTTCCAATATTATTTTTAACAAGTTAAATTAATTATTTACAACTAAAATGCTATTGGATAGTTAGGACAAACATACAAAACCTAAAGTAGTTGCTCGAAACGTAAACCCAATTGTTCAATACACAATTCACATCTACGAATGATCGAACGTGGTATAGCATTATTCAAATAAGGCCTTATTTCATCACCTGCATTCCTGATTCTGTCTATTAGCATATCTCTTGTGGTTACGGGGGTCTGGTACACTTTTTCTTTTAGAAATCCCCACACAAAGAAATCTAATGGATTTAGATCAGGGGATCGTGGAGGCTAGGCGACTGGTCCTCCACGGCCGATCCATCTTTCTGGATAATTTTCGTCCAGCCAGTTTCTAACTATTCTCGAATAATGAGCTGGACAACCATCAAGCTGGAACCAGGCCAATCTTCTTAAATCTAACATAACATCATCCCACATATTTGCATGTTCAGCCTTTAAAAATTCCAAGAAGGTCGCAGCATTTAACCTTGCAGGCAAAAGGTAGGGTCCAAATAGTCGATTACGGTAGATACCAATCCACACGTTCACACTAAATTCATGCTGTAAATTTCTTTCCCGAACTGCATGCGGATTTTCATGCGACCAAATATGTTGATTATGAAAATTTACCACTCCACGTCTAGTGAAGCATGACTCATCGGTCCATAAAACGTTACTTAAAAACTCCCTATTATTATCAGTTCTATCAAGAATCCACTGACAAAATGTGATTCTTCGTTCTCCGTCCCCTGGCTGTAGTCCTTGCACAGGTTGCAAATGGTAAGGACGTCTATGGTCATTTCTAAGAACACGGTGAACATGGCTTGCTGCATTTCCCAAGGCACCAGAAACTTTCCTAACACTTGTGGTCGGATCTCTATCAAACTCACGCAGAATCATACGGGTAAATCTGTGCTGACGAACATTTATGTTTTGATCCCTTTGGAGATTTCCAAAACCATTTTCAATTATTTGTCGATGCACTCTTACAAATACTGAGCGAGTTGGATGTCGTCTGTTTGGAAATCTTCGTGCGTATTCTCTGGCTACTTCTGCTGCGTTTCCATTTAAAAAGCCATACACAAAATGAATATCCGCTAACTCTTGATTGGAGAATAAAAATGGCATTTTTATTATAAAACTTACAAAAAAAAAACAGGTAAAAGAAGCTAAACTTCGTGTATACACAATTGCAAAAAAACGTTTCAGGTTTCAACAGACAACAAAACTAACTGTCAACTAATTGACGTTTAACCTTATTCTGCTTTCAATTTCAAAAATATTTGCAGGCGCAGCCTGCTTCTAAAAATTATCGAGATACTGACATTTTAACGTTAATTTATCATAATCATATCGAACCTTAAAAATCGAAATATCTCAAAACTGCTAACTATAACGAAAGCTTTTTTATGTTGAAAAGTGCGAAGAATCAGTTTTTCTATTCAAAAAGGAAAAAATTGCACTAAGAAAAATTTTTCGGTCATTTTAATACACTACAGGTACAGTAGAGAGCGCCCTCTAGCGGCTACAGTAGAACTATGCCCATGGTTCGTTTTGTCGTACCAAAAAACCCTTGTATACCAATTTTCACTGTTTTACATCAAATATTGTTCGAAATATTTAAAAAAAACTATTTTAAAAAGTAAATTTAAACACCCTGTATTTCGGAAGCCACGCATTTTTCGACCCATGTTTATATAGACCTTATGCATTAATTTTAAAAGTTCTATCGAATCTTAAAGTTATGCAACAATAAACTGAAACACCCTGTATAAGCTCTTTGTAATTAAAAATTATTTTCTACTTTTTAGTCCGGTTAGCTGTAAAAGCGTGTTTTTTTAAACTATTACTTATTGTGAATCTAGTACATCAACACCATTTGTCTCATTTGTCTTATCTCTCACGAACTTACCTTGATTCTCTTTCTGTTACTCTACCAATTACAACTTTTCTGTTGGCACATGCGCCAGCCACTTGAGTGCCATCTGGTGACCATGATAATTGGTATATACTACCAGTTGATGGATTATCAAGAGACATAGACCACTAAAGAAGATATTATCGGTATAAAGACAATTATTTACACATAGTGTATTAAATGTTATTACTAATTATAGTATGGTTCTGATGCAGCTATGTAAGCTGATTCTCAAACTCCTTTATAAGCAAAAAGGATTTATGTAACGAGCATTTCCATTTCGGGTAAATTTAAAACAGTAACTTACACCAGCATAATCACATAATCTCAAGACGTCAAAGGATCCCACAGCAAAAAGGTCGCCAGTAGGTGACCACGCCACAGACGTAATATGGTTGCTGTGATATCCACTAGAGAATAACTGTCTACCCTGGCTATCCCACACTCTATATTTGCAGTCTTCTCCTCCAGAAACTATCAGCTCTGATGCGGAGCTCCAAGCAATGCAAAGAATCAAGCCTTCGTGTGCTTTCCACTAAAATATAAATTAGAGTATAATAATAATAATAATAGTAAACGTCTTTATTTCCAAATAGACTGGGTATAAAAAATAGCCAAATATGGGCGAAGTTCAGCTGTAGCTGCTCTTCCACTTAACCCGCTATAAAAAGTTTGTACAACAGGTGAGTGAGACCTACTTATTTTACACATTACAATTACTAAATGTATATTCAGTGCTTACATTAATACATCTACTATAAAAGAAACATAAACCTGTATCACCAGATATGTGAAGTAGACGTTGTTGGAAATGACCTTCACGAATGGTATGAGGATTTTCTTGGGTCCACGTGTGAGTATTATGGAAGTTTAATATCCCGTAGGATTCTATGAACTATGGTATGCGGTAGTCCTACGCGGTGGCCTAATTCCCGAGTGCTGATATCTGCATTGATTTCCACGATATTTAAAATTTGTTCCTCCTGCTCTACAGTGTCCTGTCTTTCACGAGTGCGAATATTAGTGGGCTGAACACTACCTGTATCTCGAAGTCTTTGGTGCACTTACACTAATGTCCTTCTGTCTGGGTGTACCAGTTGTCGAAATCTGTCGCGTTAAATTTGAGCTGCAAGATTTGAATTCTAAAGAGCTTCACCGTAAACTAACAGCATTTCGGCGAACTCTTGATTCGAGGACATTGTAAATAAACACGACGACGTACGTGAACAAAAACAAAACAACACGCCCGATGATCTGCTCGACAAAACGATAAAGTAATTTATCTATGCAAAACGATAACTAACCACTGTTACCGTTTGCGATCTATTGCCTGTTCGATAAGAGTGATGAAAGCTGTTGTCATGTGTGTTTTAAATATTTAATTTATTTTATTTATTACTCATTTCAATAATGACTACCATAACGTTTACACACTAGATATGAACTGCAATTAATCAGAACTCTGTAAGATTCTTTTCGCCTCAAGAACTCAGAAGCTGCTTCATGAAAACATACAATAAGTCGACGGCAAGCTGGAAACGAAGGATAGACCAAGTCATGATAAATGGGAAAATCTACACACTGTGATGATCTGTGATCTGTGTGATAGACAGTGTCAATCTACATAGTCCTAGTGTCAGTACGACAGATAGTATCGCCACTTTTATTAATTCGTGAACTTATTAAATTCACAATAAAAATCTTCAAACTGCCTTCAGAAGTGCGAATCTTCCGTTACTAACAAATTCAGCTGCTTCCGTAGCTCAGCTGAGTTTTCGATTGGCTCTGAGTGATCCTGTTCTTTCACCGCTCCCCAGTAAAACAATCGAGTGGATTTAAGTCAGGTGAACGGGCTGGCCGCGAAATTGCACCAGACCGCCCGATCCATCTGCTCCGATATTCCGCATCAAGATATTGAGCCGTATTCATGAAACAAAGGATTACAGTCACCTTCCATAGCTTTCAGCAACTTTCTTTCCCAATCTAACAATTTAATTGCTATATTACCAGTTTTTATTTAGATCTGTTTTTTCTTCAATCTTGATTTCATGTTGTTGATTTTTTTCAATAAGCCTTTAGAAGTTTACCGAATGTTGATTCGTATTTTTTCAACATCTTCTTCAAGGCATCTTTCTTTCTCATTTTTATTTTTAGAACTTGTGGTTTTTGCAAAATAATGGGAGGAATGGCAATTTCATCTGCGATGAACTGCAGGTCGTTGCCATTATTTTCTATAGTTTCCTCATCACTTGAGGATGACATGCTTATTAATTTGATAAAAAACTGTATCCAGTAAAAATACGGAACGGTCTGTGTTATCTCTGGAGTACAACTGTCTATGATGCTGAGTGAACGAACTCCCACGTCAACTACAAGCGGGAACAAGTCAGGACATGTTGCTCAAGATACAAATACCAGTCAACCTTTTACTTCTTCTTGGAGGATATCCTCGCGGGTATAAGGTAATCATTATAAAAATATGAAAACAAGGATATGCTTATACTTCTACCTTATACTTTTACCTTATGCTTCTGAGGATATGCTTCTCTTTTATGAATACGACTCATTATCTAACTGAACTATCATAGGACGCCCTCTTGCTGGTACCACATGCCTCTGTAAATGCTTAGTCGCACGTCGTTCAATAAATTTCGTAAATAATTTCGTAAAGAGTCTAAATAAATTTCGTCGTTCAAGAACTCTGGAAGCTCAAACTCACAAAAAAGAGTGCTATTGATTTTATGAAATTATGATATTGGTTCGAGATCAAAGATACTTCAAATGAGGTAATTTCGTTGTTTTAAAGAAACGTTGCACTTACAATTGAGAAATTGACCTTCATTCAATGATAATATATGTCCTAGAAATATATCGAAGTCACGGTTCCTGAATTGAAGATAGTTCTTGAACCAAGATCATTCTTTTTTGTGTGAAGGGTACAATTTACTTTAAACCGATACTGTGATCTATACTAAGTGACATATAAATCCGAACACCCGGTTTAAATGGTTTTATTTTAATAAAAGTTGATGAATGTATTTATCTTACTGTAAATAACAAGTGAAAAAATTTTCAGCCTTATCAGTTGGACATTCCGGTTTTTATACTGCTTTTTTTTAATTCACTAACGCTCTAAAAATGAATATTTCAGCCGCAGTAAAGAATCAACGTTGGCGGATTTTGGTTCTTGACATCCTTTACGATCGGTTACGATGCCTAGAGTACGGAGACCTGTACGATTTCGTCAACTTAGTGAGTTTTATAGGGGCCGTATAGTGGGACTTCGGGAAGCTGGACTTTCTTTTCGGGCAATTGCAGTTAGAGTGCAAAGAAGTGTAGACACTGTGGTTAGGTGTTGTCAGGCATGGCTTCGAGAAGGCCGTACGCAAAGAGCAAGGGGCACTGGACGCCGCCGTAGAACAACAGACCGTGAAGATTGCCGCCTAAGATTATTGGCCTTAAGGGACCGTTTCTCCACTACCAGGTCCATTGCAAATGAATGGTTTGCAGAACACGGAAGACCTATTGGCATGCGAAGTGTTTACCGACGAATGAGAAGTTTTGGCTTGTTTTCACACCGGCCACACTGGGTCCTCCCTTTAACTCGAGAACACCGACGTAATCGCCTTGAGTGGTGCAGACAACGGTCACTCTGGGATCAGGAATGGAACAGTATTGTCTTTAGTGACGAGTCTCAATTTTGTTTAGGCATGCACGATGGTCGTGCCAGGGTTAGAAGGCGACGTGGTGAAAGGAGGAATCCACAGTTTTTTGTTGAAAGACATGTTCATCACACTGTTGGAGTTATGGTTTGGGGTGCTATAGCTTATGGTTCCAGGTCACCTTTAATCTTCATCAGAGGTAACATGAACGCGCAGCGTTATATCCACGAAGTTCTAGAACCCCATCTTTTACCCTATCTTGACACCCTCGCAGATCCAACTTTCCAACAAGATAATGCCCGACCACATGTTGCAAGAGTCACAATAGACTTCTTTCAACATAATGATATCACATTGTTACCATGGCCACCAAGATCTCCCGACTTATCCCCAATTGAGCACGTGTGGGATATGATGGGTAGGAGATTGCTCAATTTGCAACGTCCTGCTCAGACTCTAGAAGCACTTCGAGAGGAGTTGGTGGTTGCCTGGAATGAGATACCACAGGAGGACATTGACCAACTGATCAGAAGCATGCCTAGGCGCGTTGGAGAATGCGTAGCATATCAGGGTGCATCCACACATTATTAAAGATGAAAGGGCTTTAAAGCAGTGCAATCATTTTGAAATGTTTATCGTTTACTTATTATGCTTCATTAAGTACTTATACAAAATTTTATTAAAATAAAACCAATTAAACTGGGTGTTCGGATTTATATGTCACTTAGTATATCTTGTCTCATCAAATGTGGATTTTCTAAATGGCGTTCGTGTAAGTTGTGTAGATTCACGTAGCCATCTTTTTCAAATCTCGACTCAATCCATAAAATTTTCTCTAAGAATCGCGAACCTCCACGGTGTTGCTGTAACATTGTTTGACAAGATTCAACTCTTAGAAGATAGTTTCGGGGTTGTAGAGATTGTACTCGCTGTACGTGGCACAAATGGTCCTCGTTCTTTGGCAAGATTCAGTGGGTAATACTCCCGTGCTTGCTTCCATTTGACGTACTGAAGTACTCGGCTCTAAACTGCTGTCTTGATACGGATCTAAAGGCCGTCGTCGGTTGGAATTTCTTCCTAACGTTTCGCTAGCACGAGTGGCAAGCTTCTGCAGAGGCACTTCCTCAGTCTGCATCCAGCATCGGAAATGGAACGACCTCTGAAGAAGCTTGCCACTCGTGCTAGCGAAACGTTAGGGAGAAATTCCAACCGACGACGCCCTTTAGACCCGAATCAAGACAGCAGTTTATCAACTGGCCGCGAAAGCCTTAACCAATTTGTCGTACTCCGTTCTTCTTCGACTGCTTGTAGTACGACGTGCTCGTAAGGAAAGGAAATTCTTCCTTCACCGTCTGCTTGGTTTGGGAATCGTCAATCTGAGAGAAAACGGTGCAGTTTCACAAAAACTTGGTGATCGGGATGACGAGCAGCATTCCCCATAATTGACATGGTGGCACTACAAAATCATTAGATAAGAAAAGCGGCGTTTCTATCTGACTTTCTGTCACTACGCAGAATCACACTGTCCTTCACTCAGTCTAAGAAAAATATTAAATTTTTAGTAATGAGAAGTAAAAGATCATAATAGAGTGTTGCTACTTAGATTTTTTCATATACAGGGTGTCCAGAAAGTTGGGGTTTTCCTTTACACGACGTGTAGGTCTTGAAAACATAAGCAATTTTTCCTAGTACCATATACACCAATGACTTAAGGGAACCGAGATAAAAGGATCTGCAACATCAAAAATATCTGAATACCGTCCTGTAGCCGCGACATCACCGACTGGTACAAGGTCACTGACTCCACCCGACGGTTACGGTCACGCGTGTAGAGGTAATCGCGTAGACGAGAATCCCTCAACAAGCACTAGAGACGTGTCTAGAGAAGTGCAAGTCTCAAAAACTAAAGTGTGGCAAACGCTGCGTGAAGAGAGGCTGTATCCGTTCCACGTCCAACGTGTACAAGCCCTTCAACCTGACGATTTTCCAGCAAGAGTGCGGTTTTGTGAGTGGTTGTTGCATCAACATGACAATAATCCGGACCTTTTGAAGTGCATATTGGTGACAGACGAATCTACGTTCACGCGTAATGGGGTGAATAACTTTCGCAACACTCATGTTTGGTCAGTAGAAAATCCGCACGCTGTCCGTCGGGCACATTTTCAACAAATATTTTCGGTGAATGTTTGGGCTGGCATGGTGAACGGTATGCTCATTGGACCATTTATTCTCCCAAATCGATTGGACGGGATGCAATACCTAGACTTTTTACGCAACATTTTGCCTTCCTTGTTAGAAGATGTGCCATTAAGTGTAAGACAATCAATGTGGTTTCTGCGTCTGCTCGGTAGCGCATCGGCTGATTTCATTTTCTGTTGGAGCGGTATGATTTCGGGCAGAGACGTACTTAGCCCTTCTCGTCAACTGGAGAGTGAGTAGTTTTTCCTTTATTTTTTTTTACTTGGTCGCCCTCGTTTCACTACACATTACCTTTGTTATTTCAAGGGTAGTTGTTTCTGAAAAGGAAAACCCCAACTTTGCGGACACCCTGTATTTCTTTTTAACTATTTTCCGGCTTGACGTCGACTTCTGGGACACCCTGTGTGTACCGATATTCAGTAATCTGTTTTTTAATGTGCCTACTAACCCTTTGCGGCTTGGTATTTGGTGTCAAATGCTTGATCACTATACATTTTCCATGAGTATAGGCAACTGCTTGACTGTCCGGTGACCAGCATGCACTGTATATTGAACTGTCACTTGTCACAACTGTGCTGCGGAGCATTCCGCTTCTTGACCAGGTCTTGATAAGCCCATCTTCTCCAGCTAGAAAAATGACAGCTCCGTCGATATTCGGAACAAACAGTTATGTCAGTATTTTTTATTTTCGGCGCATGTAAACTGATAGAAACAAGCGACACGTATTTTGTAGTATGTACTTGTATATATTATAACTTAAATAATTACAGCAAATAACCATACCTGTAAGTAGTCCGGATGCGTCATTAGCCCATTTTGAGGATAATATTGCACCTTGGTGAGCATCGACGGATCTTTCTATACGCCCGCTTTTGTTCAGTATGTGGAACTTGCCATCAGCAGTTGCAAGCAAAATTAGTTCCTAAATTTAAGGGTAGGTATAATTATCTCGCAAACCGCAATAATCTTGACAGTACTTGCTCAATATCAGATTAGGAATTTGAATCAATCTTGAGTGGATTTATCATTGAAAACGCATTACATTGCAACAAATTTTCATTAGTCAGCTATAATATTTTGAGGAATCAACGTGCATTCTGTTGAGTGGATATTTTTACATGAACATCAAATAATGTTATAGTTTCTAGTCAAATATCAGAGTTATAAGCGAACTTCACTCATCTTCTTAATAGCTGAAAAATTCCTGGCGAGACTATGATTAATTAAAAATTGACAAACGATTTTTAATTAACAGTTGCACTACTAAGTTTAACAAATAAATTTAATACCAACCTAAAGTATGTTGCCTATAGAATATGTAAGCGTTTGGTTGTCTATTATTTTCATGGCTTGACTACTGGATTGGCAGGCATAAACTGATACTATAGTTATTTGTTTAATAAATAAATCCTATATCAAAATAGGCAACTTTTCGAACGCAATGATATAGGTATGACTGCAAAATGATGGTTGGCAAGTTTTTAAGAGTGACATTTTGATGCGATTGGAAACTTGCGACAAAGACGTCGAAGTCTCGTTTTCTGTAAGATAGAAAAGGACGCATGTAAAGGATGTAGCATTAATTTTTTGTTGTGTTTAATATGTAATGATAAGAAATAAAGACTGAACTCACACAGTACTGGTTTAAATGATTAATTGAAATATTGGACAATAAGTAATATAATAATATTGTAACACCCTGTATAGAGTGGTAGGTCACAGTTTGAGTTCTGTCGTTACATAGCTTAGGCCCGTATCGTCAGTCGTCCCTACAATTGTAGGACGCGTTTATGGCCTCCTTGATTGTCATAGTTTTCTACTTCTCCGTGTCAGAGCTCTATTTTGAGGTTATGTCACAAACACCTATTTGCATCAAATTGTGCCTGCTTTTGAGTTATATCATGTTCTATCAGCCTGAAATTTCCCACAATTTAAAAGGAAAACATATCTTAAGAATAGGAGAGCGCTGACGCTGACACGGGACGAGTGTAATCTAGAAATTTTTGAAGGAGAGAAAAGAGTATGACAATCAAGGAGGCCATAAACGCGCCCTACAATTGTAGGGACGACTGACGATATGGGCCTTAGATAACAATCAACTATAAAACTCTCCTACCACTGTCAAAAACGGCCGCCATTTGGGAGGAGAAAGTCGAATGTAAATTCCCCCAGTATAAATATGAAAGGGGCTTTAGTGCTCAGCAGCAGCCGGTGTTGCCAGGTGCGCGGCCTGCGGCCGCAGCTATTATTAATTTGCAATCGTAAATCGCGATTTTCTCCGCTGAAATGGCGGCTGTTTTTGGGACTGACTGTTATCTAAGCTGTTGTCATTATAGTCAACGCCAAACAAAGTGGCGTGCACGTCATCACGATAAAAATTCCCCGACCTAATGCCTAGGTTTCTATCACAAACAATTGCTCTATTGCAGTTTCATATTAATGTGATATATAAATTGTAAAATGGTCATTACTCTCTTATTATGGTTAATAGTCATGTAAACATTGTTATTAAAATATCACATAAGTTGCTTTCTGATAAATTTAGACGCATTATGCGAAATAAAATGTTTTGCAAACGCTCCAATCACTTATCGACATGTAAACGCACTAAACCGATTTCGCAGCGTTGACACATTGTCACCTTGAAACTTATTTAAACTGGGAACTGACATTTGTATTAATTTTGACACTGAATCAATTTGTGGCATTTCAAATCTTTATAAATCCTTTGGCCCCGCATACTGTAAATCAACAACTGTTTGTTTCAAAACAAAATTATTCATTTTACGAGTAGATAAAGGCAATTTTGGTATATAAAGATGCCCAAACAGTTAAATAGTCGGTGTAAGGAACTCGTGGCCTCGTTAATGCACTACTTTGAGCAAGAAAGGGACAACAACGGGCCTTTGTTGCCTTTAAATGCTGTTTTCAAGAGGTAGGTTACTAATAATTATATGTAATGTATATTAATAATAGTGAAATTTTATTTCATTTTTTGTAGCGTGTTGCTGCTGCTTTAAAAATTAGTTTAAGGACAGTTAGTCGTATTTCCGAGGGTGTGAAAAGTGATGCAAATTTAGAATCGCCCAAGAAAAAGCGGAGTTATATTAAACGTGTAACCAACACAGCGACATTGGATACAAGTGCCATTCGAGAAGTGATCTATAATCTGTATCACAAAAGTAAGATCTTATTATAATAACTTATCAGAAATTTGCATTAATTTGTTAACTAAATTATAATGTCATATTACACATGGTTTCAGAAGAACAAGTTACGATACAAACTTTATGGTCTCGATTAAGAGATAGGGCATTATTTGATGGTAGTGCCACGTCTTTAAGGCGGTTGCTTAGAGATCTTGGATTTAAGTGGCTTAAGGACAATCCGCGACGAGGGCTCAAGGAACTACCAAGTATAGCTTTGAAAAGGGTGGAATTTCTAAGGCAATACAATCGAGCCAAGGTTGAGGCCTTATACCAGTTTGTCTTCCTCGATGAAACTTGGATATTTCAAAATGGGACCATAGGTCGCTCTTGGCAAAATGGAAACCAAAAAAGCGTGAAAGCTATTAAAACAGATGGTAAAAGGTATGTACTTTTACACAATTTGCACTATAAAATTTAAAACTAATATATTTTAGATACATTATATTACATGCTGGAAATGAAAATGGGTTTATTGAGGGTAGTGAAGCGATATTTTCTTCGAAAACAAAATTGAGCGATTACCATGGAGAGATGAACCAGGACAATTTTTTGAAATGGTTTCAACATCAGTTATTAGAAAAATTGGAGAGTCCATCTATGATTATACTGGATAACGCCCCTTATCACAGCATGATATTGAACAAAGTGCCCAACAATGCATGGACAAAAAAAAATATCCAAGACTGGTTGACAAATCAAAACATACCATTTTTAAACACAATGTTTAAAACAGAGCTATTGAGTATTGTTGCTCGGTACATAATGCTTCTTAATTATATATATTTTGGTCGACAGCTTATATTTATTTTGTTTATTCCTATTCTTAAAATAAACTGCTTTTTTAGAAACAAACCACCTAAAATATACGTGATTGATGAATTGGCGGAACAACATGGGCACAAAGTTCTTCGTCTGCCTCCTTACCATTGTATATTTAACCCTATTGAGTTAATTTGGGGCATAGCAAAAGGTTACTATAACAGACATATTGGTAGAGATGGTAACAGTGAAAAAGACTGTTTGGATATGTGGAACGAGGCTCTACAAACGGTTACCCCAGACATGTGGAAAAATAGTGTTCGACATACTGAGCAAGAAATTTTTAAATGGTATGAAAGAGAACGAATTTTTGATCGACCAGACATCGAACCTTTAATAATCAACTTTGAGAGTGATGAAGATTCAGATTCAGACAGCGCTGAAGCAAGAAACTCCGACTAACTTTATTGTACAGAAAAAGCTTACACCAGTAGCTTACCTAATTTTAGAATGCATTTTTCTGTATGAATTCTGTAAAATAAATACCATGCATAAAATTTGGAGGACCCCATTTGGATTTTTATTCAGTACCTTTAAGCTATCAATTAAATATGGTAGTTTCATAGTGTCATCTGATCAATAATTGTCATACTTAATGATTATGCAAGTACAGATCTATAAGTTTATTATACTATTATTTTTGTTCTCATTTGAGGTTAATATTGCTTATAAACCTAGATATGTAAATAATAAATTTTATTATTTTACAAAAAGTTTGGCAACAATGTAAATTTTTCAACACACCCACCTTGATGACGTGCACGCCACTTTGTTTGGCGTTAACTATATTTGTTTTCGAATAGTAGTAGTACTACCACTATACAGGGTGTTACAATATTGAGATGTTCCCATTGTTTATTTATTTGTGTATTTGTCATTCATTTAAAACGTTCAGATATCTGTTAAGCTTCTTTACACGAAATACCTATTAGCACAGCTTAATTTGCCTCAGGAACGCGGTCCATTCAAATGACATTTAGCAGACTAGGGTAAGCCATATTTCACGCAACGTTAGCTGGCAGCAGCCTGGTGCTACTAAACTTAACCATGCAAGCATTTCCCTTTCATTGGTTAATAAACAATTTGTTTCAGTTTCTGAAACGTACCTGATGTTTTCCCGCCATGCCTGCTCGATTTGTCAGGAATTGCATATCAGTAGGGTAGCATGATTCTGGAAGCTGTGCAACTTTGGTGGCGGCTAGAGTTGATGCAGACCAAGACAGAATAAGACCATCATCCCTGGATAAGAAGTGTTTAAAATGAGAATAATCTAGCGACGAATGGATTTAATCTCTCGCAATTTATAGAAATGATCTTCCAAGTAATACCGTTTAGACATTTGTCACAGAGGATTTGAAAAACCAACAATACTCTTGTTCCGAAGTAAGGTCGAGGAACACTTTGAGTAGAATGCACTTCTTCTGAAAGTTGCCCAAATGCTAAGATTAATATAATCATAATAAAAATAATCCGGCTTTATTTATACAAAGTATAAAAAGGCGAAGTGTTGCTAAAAAGCGTTTTTCAACTTAAACCAATATATATATATACAGGGTGACTTCGAAGTTGAGTCATTTATTTTAACAGTGAGTAGATCTGATCAAAAGAAATGTTTTTTTCCTTTACCATTTTTCTGGTAAAATTAAAGTAACAAAGTTATAGCCCTTTGGAAGTTTGAGTACCGCCCTGTCTCAATAATAATATCATGTGCTCGTGTTTGGCAACAACGGATATAATCCGCCTTAGCGGTTCATCGCATCGGAAACAAAAAAGCGAAAGAATTTGGAACGATGTTTTTACAATTATTTTATTCAGTTGTATGCATACAGTCAGTGTCAGTCGGTAACGCGTGTGAATAGTGGTGTCTGTTGCGTGGCTCAAACGAAATAAAAAATGGCACATGTTTATGCGGATCGGTTTCCCAATCGAGTGCAACCAACCCCTCGTGCCTTTGTTAATGTAGTACAACGGGCTCGTGAATCAGGTGACTCACAGGGGACCTCACGATCAAATACAGGTCCGCACTGAAATACTTGTCGGGAGAATACTTTATAAAACAAGGTAAAAACTTTTTTTTTATTTTTTTTTACACACATATTTTGGTTTATCTTCCTTCTACAATCATTATCTGAAAATTAATGACTCAACTTCAAAGTCACCCTATATATATAAAAACGTTTTTTTTTTGTTGACAGTATACCTACTACATTTTGTGACACAATACATTTTGTGATAATATAGGGTGTTGTTTTTTTCAAAGTCAACTACGTTTACAATACCAAAGCCAATTTGTGGCAGAACAAGGAAAGAATTTAAAGATAAATACTCACTTCTGTTTGTAAACACTGAATTTGTCGATGTTCGATTCAAAAACACGAATTTGTTTACCTCTTCCTCAATTTGCAACATTTGGGGCTGTCTAGGTCTCCATCTGTGTTCAATCAGCATGATATAAACAAGCATCTGCAGTTCTGATGGAAAGAAACATCGAGGACGACGGTGACGTACGAGCATCAATAAGATCTTGAAGATTCTCATTTCAAATCTATAATACCTTAGTGCTCTGGGCATGTGCAAATCTCTGCTTCTCAAATGCAGTTTGTTGGGGGTTGTCCAAAACCGACGCAGGAAAGTAAGCGCATATTAAAACAAGAAAGATTGATATTCAAATCAAGTTGGGTACTTTATTTTGAAGGTTTATTTATACCATTTATGTATGAAAAATAATATCGCTCAAATGTTCACCACTACTGGATTTACAGACGTGCACGCGACGGTCGAAATTTTCAATGACATTTTGCAACATGGTCGGTTCTATGGCATTTATCTCGGCAAAGATGTTGTTTTTGAGTTCTTGGAGGGTGGCTGGTTTGTTGACGTAGACTTTGATTTTCAAATATCCCCATAAAAATAAGTCCAAGGGAGTCAAATCGCACGATCTTGGTGGCCATGGCACATTTCCTCTGCGCGAAATCACGCGATCACCGAAGAAGGACTGCAATCGATGGATATTGACGTTGGTTGTGTGGCATGTTGGACCGTGTTGTTGGAAATAAACATCGTCCATATCCAGTCCTTCAAGTTGCGGCAAAAAATAGTCCTCTATCATCACGTGATATCGCTCAGAATTGACGGTACGGCGTCCCCGGCCGCATTTTCGAAAAAGTAAGGTCCGATGATGCCTTTTGACCACAATGCACACCACACAGTCACTTTTTGAGGATGCATCGGCTGCTCTTGATACTCACGGGGATTTTCGTTCGCCCAGATGCGGCAGTTTTGCTTATTTACCGTCCCATTCAAAGTGAAATGCGCTTCGTCGCTGAACATGATTTTTGATGAGAAATTGGCATCAATTTGGCGGTGTTCAAGGAGCCAATCTGAGAACGTTCGGCGCGAAAAATGGTCGGCCCGACGCAGCTCTTGCGTCAATTGGATCTTGTAGGCGTGTACATTCAAATCCTTGTGGAGAATGCGGAGCAAACTGGTTCTCGAAATGCCCAATTCTTGGGATCGACGCGTTGTTGATTGTTTCGGATCGTCTCTCACACTCTCCTTCACAACAGCAATATTTTCCGGTGTGCGAACGCTCCTTGGCCGGCCAGAGCCTGGCAGATTTGCCACAGAACCTGTTGCCTCGAATTTATGCACCAGACGACCGATGGTTGTTTCGTTTGGGCGGTTGTTGCGACCGAAATGTTCACGAAGAGCGCGAAACGTGTTTTTTATTTTTGTACCATTTTTGTAGTGCTCTTGAATAACTTTAATGCGGTCTTCAATCGAATACGACTCCATAGCGATCAATGGTAAACATTCAACTAACAAAATGACATGTCGGTGAGAGAAAACAAAGATGGCGTCCAAGTCAAATTGACGTTTACTTTCCTGCGTCCCTATTGGACAACCCTTTACGTTTTGACATAGGAGGAGATTGTGAGAGGGGAGGTACGCGGGGTCATACTAATTTATGGCTTTTTGGAACCTAATATCTCGGTTATCCTATGGTATAGGTATGTGTTCCTAAAAAAACATGCTTATTGTTGCCTGATCGAAACGCTCTGTAAAGGGAAGTCCAACTTCTGACGACACCTTGTATATTTTGTATAAATGTATCCAGTCCGTCAATTTATGATACATCAGCCGTGCATAAGTCTGCAGAGCTCACTTGATACGACATACGTGTGGACTTACCCTGCGGAGAAGAATTCCTCAGTACTACTCCATCCAACGCAGGTTACTGGGGCCTTGTGAGATGGTTTTTCAGCTAGCGACAATTTAAACCTCATCTTCCTCTCTGCTGCGAATACTTTCAATCAAACTGCCAGGCTGGGAACGTGTTGAAAGCTTGTAAATTGTCTGTTTGTGTACATTTCCGTTGCTAGGGTAATCCAGCAATAAAGGGGTGTTCACGCTTAACGCTCCCGTGGGTATCCACAAACCGTAAATAGCACGGTCATAGTATAACGAAACAAGTGTTTTTTTTTTAGCAAAATGCATATTAAAAAGAAACAGGGTGTCCACTACGAAAGTTCACTTTTTGATTTAAGAAAAAAATAATAACTTAATGAAAAGAATGTATTTATTACTATCAACATATTCGGAAATTCGCCGGGTTCTATTTTTAAACCCATTTATGCCTAAAAAGTCGCAAAAAAAGTTTTTTTTTATTATTTTTTAAAAAACCTTATTAAAAGACGACACTTTGGAGGTATTTTCAATTTATTCTAAAAAAAATACACAAACTGTTAGTTTTTTAGGATGTACTAGTACATTAGGAATAAAGGTAGCAAATATTTTGAAACACATCAATATTGCAAATTTTATAGAGTGTGATATTGAACAAAACATTTCACGTGAAGGCCGACATCACATTTTCTACAGCAGACAAGCTCATTTTAATAGTTCAACTATTTTAAATAAATTGGTGTAATCAATCTAAGTAAACGGTTTAATACATTTAGTTAAACGGTTGTGTTTTGGTTTAATTAAACTAGTGTCATAGGGTTAAGTAAACTGTTTTTTAAATTAAGCTAATTGATCTTGTTAGCTGTCACTAGTTAATTAAGTTTTTTAATTGACAATTAAAATTTTGACTGGTTTAATGAATATTTTTGACACTGTACTGTCTCCAGTTTCAGTAGCAGTGGTTGTTAGTATTGGAAAATATCAGAAGAAACTATTTTTAACATAATTAAAAAAGTGTATTTTGAAAAATGTAAATAGCAAAATATAACAACAATAACATTCAAGCAAGCTCAATTAAAATATCATCATCACCGACGGTGTCACCTGGATGGATGTTGACGCATCTTACTTTACCACTCGAGGTTGCTACCATAGAATTTTGCATCTTCATGGCCTCTGGAAAAGAATAAACATCCATTAGAATATTGTATTTTGCAGAAATGATTTCTCGGGGGTAGGTACATCAAACACAAAGGTAAGGGAAGTCGCTAAACATTTTTTAATAACAGATTTCATCTATTGAAAATACAGTATTGTAAGGTCTGTAACAGAAAATACTATGTGACAAAAAGGCTGTTTTGAATAAAATCTCGGTGTTCAAGATTACCAGAATTTATTCTTTTGGTTGAAAAACTGGCGTGCCTTTAATAAATTATTCCAAAACTGCCGAGGAAGTACTGTAATAGCGAAAAGTTTCTAAGTTGAGATATGTTTTTTGGATGCAGATCACACAAGGTTACTACTATGCCAAGGATGAAAAAACTTTGTAGTTTTTGAAAATCGGTCTAGTTATGGCGGAGAAAACGACCAAAAACAAAAAAAATGCTCAAACATCGTTTTGATGTTATTGTTACTTTTTTCCTTAGTCATTTTCAGAAAAAAATTTGTAGGGGTTGAATTCTGAAAGTTGGGGATTGTAGAAAGTGGGGAAGGGTAGATGCTTTTTTGATCTTAGCATATTTTTACGCTCCGAGCTCCAGTAATCCCTTCCAACTATTAGCCACATTTCGAACATCATACTATAGTCCAGGAGTATTAGACTTTCTCTGCTGAAAAAATCCCACCTGGCTGAATTTTTTACCAGAGCTTCTTTTCAGCATTATAATTCATCCCTCGAAAGTCGCCATGAACCCAAGTAGAGCTTTTTTTTAGGGGAGGGGGTCAAAGGTCACAAAAACACTTTTTTCCATATATCTTCGAAAATATCACTTCTACAATAAAATGAGCTATTACCTTTTTTGTCTAGTATAAAATTTTCCACGGAAAAGGTTTAATGTAGTTTTTCGTAGAGATCGTTTTTCCAAAGAAATTTTACTTTCAATGTTGAACATCGAGAAAATTGTAAAATAACGTACTTTTTTCCACGTCACCATAGGGGTAAAGTACCAGACGCGTTTTTTTTTTCATCTGGATTCCCCAATAGGCCTAATCCTCGAAGATAGAATGGGAAAATGATGTTATTGTTACTTTTTTCCTTAGTCATCAATGTGACATGACGCGGCATCATCTAAGTCTTCGCCAACCTCAAGTGTTGAGCATAGGAAACTCATTGGGTCTATATTCTCATCGAGTTCCACATTATTTGATTCTTCAATGTACGGGATCATATTCAGACATGACTGTCCATAACAGTAGCCGCAAATGGCGGAACAGTGTAGGCCAAGTTTCGTACATCCGCAATTAGCTCCACAACCTTTAGTACAATTACAAAAGATTGTGTTTAATAAGACATCAGTAGCAGGTGTCAATACAGTTTGTATTGGCCGTAAATCTTTATCGGTCATAGTCTATCCCCAATCCAATGGATTCAAATTCTTTCCAAGCCATTTCTGAACTTGATAATACACACGACATAAATGTGCTTGAGCTGCACTCGATGTCGGTGGCAGCATTTGAAGCTTAACAGCTTTGTCATACCTTGTCGATTTCGCGAAGCAGTTATTATTATTATTATTATTATTATTATGATAATTGAGATGAGCAGAGTACACAGTACTATAAGCTCATACAGTAAATATAGTGTACGGACACGTAACAAATACATCAAATAGAAAGAAATAAAAAAAGACAGTTCATAGCTATAAAGTTTGTACACTTCTCCAGCTATCATACTGCACTTTGAAGCTATTAACTGAAGTAGCACCAACCACACTTTCAGGTAAACTATTCCAGGTGTTGAATATGCGGTTGGGAAGAAACCACTGTCGGACTGTTGTTTTAAATGGCTCCTTATGCAGTTTGAAGCTGTGTCCGCGTAGATTGCTGCGCGACAGACGGTAGAGATGCATGAGGTTGGTGCCCATCAAACCATGAAGTATCTCGAACGTAACTATAAGATCGCCACGAAGTCTTCGCTCAGAGAATGAGGTCAGGTTGAATAATTCAAGGCGATCTTCATAGCTTGGTCTTCGTGCTACAAAAGGGATACGAGTAGCCCGACGCTGTACTGATTTGACGAGATTTCTATCGCGCAGAAGCAGTGTCCCATACCGGGCCAGCGAATTCAAGAATTGGCCTCACGAATGCCTTGTAAATGTAGGCGCAAGTGTTGACATCGGATCCTTTGAAAGACCTCTCCAGCATGTATAGAAGTTCCTTGGCTTTTGATGTAACGTGGTGAATATGCTCTGACCAGGAAAGACGATCGTTGACTACAACGCCCAGATCAGTGTGGCTGGAAACTGCTTCGATGTTGTGGTCAGAGATCTTGTATGTAAATCGCGGATTTGTCTTCCCGAGGTGAAGGACACAACACTTAGTTAGATTTAAGGATAAAAGCCAACTGACTGACCATTGACAAATAATATCAGGATCTCGTTGAAGCATAGCAGAATTTACGACAGTATTGTAAATCTTGGTGTCGTCGGCATAAGCTGAACATGTGGAGGAAATCAATGCGGGCAAGGTCACTTGTATACAGAAGGAACAGCACTGGCCCCAAGACAGAGCCTTGAGGAACTCCACTTGCTACATGATGAAGGTGAGACTGGCTATCACTGACGCGCACAGAGAAAGTCCTCCCGGTGAGAAAATCCTTAATCCACAGCAACAACTCGCCTCTTATTCCCATACATTCCAACTTAAACAGAAGCCTTCTATGTGGTACGCGATCGAAAGCCCTAGAAAAATCTAAGTAGATTATATCAACAGGAGTCTTAGTGTCCAGATACAGAGTCCAATCGTTGAGAGAGTGGAGAAGGTTGGTCATTATTGATCGACTAGGGAGAAATCCATGCTGATTCTTAGGGATAAGGTCATTTTCGAAAGCAAATGTCAGGAGCTTATCTAATATGATTCTTTCAGCTATTTTGGCGGCGATAGGAACGAGAATTTTTTAGCGGAGGATTTGTCGCCTTTTTGAATACAGGGGTAACAGAAGCACTAAGCCAGTATGAGGGTAGGGTATGAGATCTAAAAGACGATGTGAATATCGATGATGGTCAAGAGATTCTTCGCACGGTGGAGCTAATAATGTTTTGATACCATTTGTGAAAATAGTATCTGGAGAACATCCTTCCTCATTGAATACTTTTGCTGAAGCTCTCTTTTGAAAAATTTTAGTGGCCTTTGCCTTGCTTTCATTGAAGAGAGCAGATGTTGTGTCACATCCAGTCAAAGCATGCAAAAATAAAGTGTGTGGTTTAACGGTGAGGTGAGCATCGAAACTTTTTGGAGAATATATAATTGTATCGATGTTTGGTTTTCCAGGCTTCATAAAATAAATATCTTTATGCTCAGGAACAAGAGCTGTCAATATTAGAGTATTCGAGTGGACTGTATCGCTTACCTTCGATCCGGTGTCTAATTCTGGTTCGTATTCCTGGGCGTAGCGGTGATGCAGGGCCGTGAAGATTGCGGGTGTGGGAGCGGTTCTGGCTCTATGCGGTTGCTGCGTATATGCGGTTTCTGACTATATGCGTTTGCTGCGTAGACGCGTGGTCTCACTGTATGCGGTTGCGGGTATATATATTCTCACGGTATGCGGGTTGCGGCGTGTCTGCGTGGTCTCTCTGTGAGCTTGTATCGCGCTTCCTTTTATTGTCCTAGCAGAGCACGCGCGCGGGGTAGGCAAGCGACAACTCATACCCGCCTTAAAATATAGCCAACCAAATATCCCTAACAGTCAATAAGACCGATAAATCTACATCGTTTCCAACAATTATACTTCGATTTTCATTCGTCAATTCAATTGCAGTATTGATAATGAGAAGATCAGCATCATCATCTGCTTGCACGACGTTTATATGACTGTTTCAGTTTTCCAGACAACATTGTCATAAATCGCTGTTTGTTGCTGACACTGGCGAGAAATTTCTCTTGAGTTGTTATCAGAGTCATTGATGGATCAAACATAATTTCTATGCATGTACCGTTTTTTGCTGATCATCGTTGTTGTTCCATTGCTTTCGTGTTATTACGTCGAAAACAACCGTAACGTTCCAAGCAAAATGATTTCGTAAATAGTTAGCACAACAATCAAAAATAGCATCAGAATATGTAACATCTCGATAGAACGCATTCTTCGCCGAGGAGGGCTAGCGGTCGAGGTGCTCGGTTCAGCATCTCGCTCCCTTTTAGCAGCAGCAATGCTACTTGCACGAGTATATTCTTTACGACACACCACCTGCAGCCTGATCGATTCAACACTCCGCAAACATGTAATTTGGTCAAATGACGTCAATGCCCCACAGTCAGGTATACAGTCACGTACGTTCTAACAAAGAAAAGAAGGGCCAACTGTGCTCTAGGTCACTAGAGGGGACACTTATAGAGCCCCCTACCACAAATATTCAAAAAGAAAATGACTTCAAAGTACGGTTTGTCGTGAAAGTTTTTATTTTTGTCAATTATAACACTTTCACGCAATTTTCTGTAAATTGACAGTCTCTACGAAAAAAATGCATAAAACCTTTTTTGTGGAGAATTTCATACTGAACAAAAAAGGTAATATTTCATTTTATCGCAGAGTTGATATTTTCGAAGATATATGGAAAATAGTGTTCTTTGTTACCTTTGACACCCCATAAAAAAAAGCTCCACTTGGATCATGGGGACTTTTGAGGAATGACTTATAATGTTGAAAAGAAGCTCTGGTAAAGAAGTGGGATTTTTTCAACACATTGGCCTTCTTTTCGTCTAATAGTCGTGGATTAACTATCCGTACATTTACCTTTAAAACTAAACGTAAGGTACAATATGAAACTGGTGTTCACCACCTAATATCCCAGAATATGGATATGTTCGATAGGAAACCGAATAACGGAGAAAAACGAGACACTTTCTTTCAACACAATACTGAATCACTGAGAAAGAAAGATACAATACATGTGAAATTACACAATCAATAAAAAATTAAATTTGCAAAAAGAAAATCACTGAAAAGGGTATGGCCTAGGAATGGGCACTCTACCATTGATAAAGATAAATTCAAATTATTAGTAAATGATCAAAATAGTGAAAAAAGGTGATTTTGGCACGTCTTAGGTAGAAAAAGGTCTCACCGAGATTTTAAAAACAGCAAATTGGCGCTCAATAAACAAGCTATCTGGTCCATACCATGGCTTATTTGAAATAAGTCCACAAATATGAAAAAAGAGATAAACCTGCATTTTTGTCTTATGCTATTTTTTGCTAAAACATCTTAAAACATGACGTTTTTTTAAACTCGATACGACCATCAGCGTATCATCTGGACCTACCTATAACGCATAGCTCTTGCCCTTCTACGACTTCATCACCAACATTGCAGTTGACACTCTTGACAAGCCCAGGCATGGGAGAGCGAATCTGCTTCGATACATCAAACTTAATTTTTTCAGGCATCAAATGCAAATATTCCGCTGATCTTTGCGTCAATATGAAGAGTTTGTAAGTGGTACCTTGGTATCTGCAAAAAAGGAAAGGCAGGTCATCGGCCAAGTTAGCACTGGGCGGTACTATAATGAACTAGCTTGTTGTGAATCAAGTAATTTAGAACAGGATATTCAAATGTTGAGAGCTAGTAGTTGAATAAATCTGATATGTTAAAATAAAGTAGTAGTAGTGGTAGAGAGATTTATTTAGCACATTTGGCTACATAAACAGAATAATTGTAAACAACTTAGAACTAGTAAATTCAAGCCATATGGTGTATGATGTAAAGGCTGGGCAACCTATAATTGTAAATTTAACAAGTGATTTCTCAATTTTACTTTAAACTTTGTCAAAGTTTTCTGGTCTTTTATCTCCGAGTATAATTTATTATATTCAATCAACCCTTGATGGAATACATATTTGTAGCATATGTTATACTTTTTGGTCAATAAATGATGGTCGACATTTGATGATGTTAAATTAGTTAGGCTTGATGGAAATATATTATTTTTTACTTTATAAATGAATATCATTACAAGATATTTGATAAAAATTTTTACACTGAGCCATTTTAATTTGCTAAGCATTTGCCTAATCGGAGTATATTTATCTTTATTTAGTATTATTCTCATGCACTTATTTTGTAAAATTAGCAGTCTTTCAAAAATGGAATTATTTGCTAAATATAGAATAGTCGAACAGTACAAGAAATTTGGAAGAATGATGGTATTATAGATAATTTTTCTGCTATATGAACTCAGACATCCAGAAACTCTCGATAAATATCCCACTTTACTACTAATCTTATTTATAACTTTTTCATAATGAATATCAAAAATTAATCGAGAGTTAACAAAAACCCCCAGGTATTTAAAATTTTCTACGAATTCAATATCTTCACCATCAATATTCAGTTGAACATTTGTACATTGTTTTTTCCTGATTAACAAGGCTTTCGTTTTACTTGCATTTAATTTTTGTCTGTTAGATGCTAACCATTTTGAGACAAGCTTCAAGTCTTCATTTATATAAGAGATACCAGACTGAATATTTTTAGTACTTTCATAAATCATAGTGTCATCGGCGAAAATCTGAATTATGCACTTTTTGTCTATGGCAGGTAAATCATTTATGTACAAAATAAAAAGAAGTGGTCCCAGGATACTGCCCTGTGGAACAAGCAACGTATTTTCAATTTTTGATGAAATAGTGTCATTAACTTTTGTATCTGCATCTTTTAGAATTTTTTATTTTGGGAACTGGTGGTATTGTAGAGCATTTCAAATTATCAGGAAAAGAACTGTTTCTCAGTGAACAATTGATCCAATTTAATACAGGATATCCCAAAATTTCGAAACAGTTTTTCAGCACGTTTTTAGTAGTGATTTCGGCACAGTTGTTATTTGATTTTAAACTGTTTACTTTTTTTCTTAGATAATTCAATGATACGCTGTGAAATTTTGAAAGTGTATGCAACATTTCCCCCTGGAAACTGATTTTCATATAGTCAGGTGCAGTATTGGCAGTACCCACAATATCAACAATACTTTCCACAAAATATACATTTAGTTTGTTTGCAATCACCAAAGAATTTGTTTCGGTACCGTTTACGAATTGAACTTGACTTACACAATCATGCGGCTTCGAATTGATCAGTCTTTTTAAAGTCTTCCACATCTTTACACTGTCGCACTTGTTATTATCGATTTGTTTATCGTAGAATTTTCTTTTTTCTTCTTTAATTACATATACACATTTATTCCTAAGAGTTTTATATACCCCCCAATCATCATTTGATTTTGTGAATAAACATTTATTGTATTGTTTGTCTCTCAAATTTTGAGCTGCCTTAATATTCTTGTTATACCAGGGTGTATTTTTTGTCGAGCAAATCACTTTTTTATCAGTTGCAAGATCTAAACAAGTTTTTATATTTCCTATTATGTTGTCATATATTTTTTCCATATTCTCACCAAAATTCCAATAGCAGCCAGCAAGTTCTCGTTCAAGTTTTTCGTACTTAATAGTATTTACGATTTTCTTAATTTTTGTATCAGAAAAATGCCCCGCCAAGGGCAGCATTGTCCAACTGTGATCGCTAACTTTAGGTGTATGTACAGCTTTAATCCCTGCACATTCGAAATTTACAATAACAAGATCTAACAAAGTCTCTGATAATGATAAAAAGATCATATTACATTAGAGTATCTCAGGGTTCCGACACAGGTCCGTTGTTATTCAATTTATTTATTAATGCTCCTGTAATCTTAGTACCGAGTGAGATTATTTTATTTGCGAATGATGTTAAGATTCTTAGAGTTATTGGAGACACACATGATGCTGAATTGCTGCAAAGAGACTCAGACCATATTTATGTTTTACTCTAAATTATGCGAAATCTTTCAAGATTATATTTAGTCGATCGCGTTCTCCTTTAACTTATTCTTATAGCATCACCGGTAGATCTTCACAAACTACAGACGAGATCAAGGACTTGGGAGATGTTTTTGACTCAAAATTATCATTTAACATATTGAAGAAACAATCAACTGGGCATATGAGATGCAGATCTGTCACTGTTTTAAAGTTTTGTATTGTTCCTTGGTTCGTTCGTTACTTTAGTGTTGCAGCTCCATCTGGTCATCAAGTTAAGGCTTACAGATCAACCGGTTAGAGCGTGTGCAGAAAAATGTCAGCTGTAATTAAAAAAATTTCACGTAATGTGAATAATAAGAGAACGCGACATACTGATACTTACTTTGTTTTCTTTCATCAAACAAATTATGGTTTGAATGAACTCATAACTCGTCTTATTAGGTTAGGTAATAGTTATACAGGGTGATTCCTAAGTCGTGAACAAAAATGAAATATCATACACAGGACCGCATTTTGAGGGGGGTCTTCTATGTAAGTTTAAAAATAAAAAACTAGGGCATTCAAGACGAACTAGAAGTGATTAATCTGGCGTTGGACGATCCTAGTATTTACAAAGTCTTGCGTGGAGAATTTTAGATCGGGAAGTTTTACATCCTTACCATCGGCAAAACGGGCAATGTCTGCAACCTGGCGAGTAATTACTGCAAATGCATAATCAAAATGCGGATTTTGTTGATTTGGTTTTGTGATCAGATGAATCGCTTTTTACAAGGTGCGGAACCTTTTATTCTCATCTGGTTTGAGACAACGATGGACTGGCAGAAACGGACCCATACATTGGCCTGCGAGGTCTCCTGATTCGAACCCCTTGGATTTTCTTTTGTGGGGCGCTTTTAAGCAAATAGTGTATGCTGAACAAATTAATACTGTTGATCAGTTACAAGAAACAATAGATAATGCGTTTCGTCAAATTCAAGCCACAACAACTTTTGAGGAAACACTTTTTTCTTTATTGAAAAGATGCCGCACTTGCATCCGTCAGAATGGTGGTCTTTTCGAACATTTATTGAAAAAAAGCTTTGATTATCTAATTTGCTTTTTTTATTTTTACGAAAACAATGCACTCTAGGAAAAAACACAAGATCATCTATTTGTAGCACGTTGAAGTTGAAATTAGAGAAATTGCACGTTTCAAAAAAAAACAGTGGCGTACTATTTTTATTTGTAAAAATATTGCCACTAATCCCCTGTATCTCCGCCACTGGTGCACGTCAATTTTAAATAAAAACTTTTGAATGTGGACAATACTCAGGTAAATCCGTAAACCGAATTTCAGTTCATTGACGGTTTTGAAAATAGTGAAAAATTGTTTTCTATTCTTAAAATTTTTGATGAAAAAATGCGGTCCTGTGTATGATATTTCATTTTTAGTCACGACTTGTGAAGCACCCTGTATATCTGGCTTATAAATATTTGCCACTTCTGTTAATGAGTTTAAACGAGGTGTTAAGAACATTACAATATAATTTTTTAAATAAATAAATAAAATGTACGCACATTATTTGGTAATATCCGCTAGCATCTTTTGACAAGAGCTGAATAACATCAGTTTCATCATTGACCTTGACTTCTAACAAAGGTTTCGCCAAATCAATATCTTCTTTCCTGATGACGTATTCTTCATCATTGACGTTGATTTTGAATTCGCCGTTGGATTGAGTTACATCGAGCTTGTACTTTTCCTCATTCAGTTCTACGTATAACTTCCACTCTTCTGCAGGTTTTTTATCAATTTTCACCTGTGGTACGTTTAGGAACTGCCTGTTTCTGAGATCATTAGTTGCGAAGAGTGAACAAGCCATGGCTAGAAGTTTTTGCTTATCTTTTACGTCCAACTGTTTTCCTGAAGACAAACACACAATTGACATTAATATTAATTTCAATATCGAACCCCAAACTGATTTGAAAAATGCTTATTCAAACAAATATTTTTGACAAAAACCATTGGCGTATTATTTTTTTCTTAAAAAATATCGAAGCCAATACCCGCACGCACGCCACTTTTTAAGCTAAAAATTATTTTTGCATTGAAAAATATGCAACTTTGACACCTTTCACTACGTGCTGAATATCAGTGAAATATCTGAAGCCGTTTTGAAAATATTAATTTCCACGTTTCTCCTAAAACCTCAACACCCCGAGTTCTTGCAAAGAAACATTTTTGGACCATATTTTATAAATCAAACTAACATTAATTTTTTACGTAGATTCAACCCTTAAATATTCGCATATCATTAAGGCACACCCTGTATATTAGCCTAAAATTCCTCTATTGATACTTTCTTCTTACTAGCGTGAGTAATACGCATTCAACAATTTTTAAGATCAGGGTGAAAGTAGAAACACTGTCTGGCAATTGCCAATCTGCTTCCAGCTGGACTGGATTGTTTTCGACGAAATGTTGCAGTATGACATATAAATCCGAACACCCAGTTTAAATAGTTTTATTTTAATAAAATTTTGTATAAGTACTTAATGAAGCATAATAAGTAAATGATAAAATTTCAAAATGATTGCACTGCTTTAAAGCCCTTTGAGCTTTAATAATGTATGGATGCACCCTGATGTGCTACGCATTCTCCAACGCGCCTAGGCATGCTTCTGATCAGGTGGTCAATGTCCTCCTGTGGTATCTCATTCCAGGCAACCACCAACTCCTCTCGAAGTGCTTCTAGAGTCTGAGGAGGACGTTGCAAATTGAGCAATCTCCTATCCATCATATCCCACACGTGCTCAATTGGGGATAAGTCGGGAGATCTTGGTGGCCATGGTAACAATGTGACATCATTGTGTTGAAAGAAGTCTATCGTGACTCTTGCAACATGTGGTCGGGCATTATCTCGTTGGAAAGTTGGATCTGCCAGGGTGTCAAGATACGGTAAAAGATGGGGTTCTAGAACTTCGTGGATATAACGCTGCGCGTTCATGTTACCTCTGATGAAGATTAAAAGTGACCTGGAACCATAAGCACCCCAAACCATAACTCCAACAGTGTGATGAACATGTCTTTCAACAAAAAACTGTGGATTCCTCCTTTCACCACGTCGCCTTCTAACCCTGGCACGACCATCATGCATCCCTAAACAAAATCGAGACTCGTCACTAAAGACAATACTGTTCCATTCCTGATCCCAGAGTGACCGTTGTCTTCACCACTCAAGGCGATTACGTCGGTATTCTCGAGAGAGGACCCAGTGTGGCCGGTATGAAAACAAGCCAAAACTTCTCATTCGTCGGTAAACACTTCGCATGCCAATAGGTCTTCCGTGTTCTGCAAACCATTCATTTGCAATGGACTTAAGGCCAATAATCTTAGGCGGCGATCTTCATGGTCTGTTGTTCTACGGCGGCGTCCAGTGCCCCTTGCTCTTTGCGTACGGCCTTCTCGAAGCCATGCCTGACAACACCTAACCACAGTGTCTACACTTCTTTTCACTCTAACTGCAATTGCCCGAAAAGAAAGTCCAGCTTCCCGAAGTCCCACTATACGGCCCCTATCAAACTTACTAAGTTGACGAAATCGTACAGGTCTCCGTACTCTAGGCATCGTAATCGATCGTAAAGGATGTCAAGAACCAAAATCCGCCAACGTTGATTCTTTACTGCGGCTGAAATATTCATTTTTAGAGCGTTAGTGAATTAAAAAAAAGCAGTATGAAAACCGGAATGTCCAACTGATAAGGCTGAAAACTTTTTTACTTGTTATTTACAGTAAGATAAATACATTCACCAACTTTTATTAAAATAAAACCATTTAAACTGGGTGTTCGGATTTATATGTCACTTAATATATGTTCAGTGCTTTCATTGTACTATGAAAATTAAACCCAAGTTGGCACTTTTTCAACATTTTAGACTTTTTCATTTCAATATCAAAACCTCGTTACTATACATCCCAAATTTGTATTTAAACTTCGTAAGATACTCATTTACTCACCTTTGAATCCATCTGGATACACCTGCGGCAAATAATTAGTACTAATATCACCCTTATTAAACTTCTGTTCCGTTAAGATATCCCTCAGTAAAGGAATGTTATGGATAACACCTCTTATTACATAGTAATCTAGCGCTTTTATACTTCTCTCAATGGATTCTTTCCTATCTTTTCCATAACAAACGAGCTTACAGATCATAGGATCGTAATAAACACTAATTTCTGAACCCTCCTCAATGCCACTGTCGCATCTGACTCCTGCCAGATGGGTCGGTTCTATATATCGATATAATCTTCCTAAAAATAATAATAATGTTTATTGTCACAAAATACAAGTAAATATCAAATATTGTGCACAATAAACATAAAGCACCCAAAAAAAGTTTGCACTTGTGTTTGGGTTTGTACAAAATAAAAACTAATAGTGTATGAAAAAAAAACCCATTAATACTGTAAATGGATCATACTTCAATATTTTCAAACATTCTGCATTCCAAGAGAATGGGGAGTAAACGGAATATACTGAGTGACAAGAAAAGGTACACACCTACCTATCGATTTAATAATAACCAATGAACAGAATTTTAGTATTAAGGTTTTACATACTCCAAAAATAAGCGACCATTCATGGATGTGTTTCGAGGTGGAAAATATGTTTAATGAGAGAGAATCAAGAGGAGTCACAATTATGGACTTTGAGGGATATCGTCAAAAGAGTCAACTTAAGCCTAAGAGTTTTGCCAATTTCCCAATTAACAATTAATTGTATTTTGTACCCAACTGGTCGTTGGCTTTGGCAATGACTACTGCTCACGTAATATATATACAGGGTGTCCCAGAAGTCGACGTCAAGCCGAAACCGGGTGATAGGCAAAGTCATAACAGCTATCAGAAAAATATTTAAAAAAAATGTATGTATGTGTTTTGAAAATTATAGGTCTTTGAAAAAAATATAGAAATTTCACACCCTACGCCAACTCTTGTTACTACAAATATTAACTTTTTTTGGATTTCATTTTTACAATGTAATGATGAATAATGCATCTTCAAACTGGTGTCTCAAACTTACTGCCAACTTTTCTCGTTCAGGAAAAATTGCCACTTATTTCCCAACCAAGTATTCCAAAGTAAAACTTTGCTCAACTTTAACTGGCTGTACTGGAAAAAAATGTACTACGAGAGTCTGGGAAGTAACCTTAAAAGTTGGCGCATTTAATAAGGATTCCAAAATGGTATAGCACTTAGAAGATTACTCGTTAACTTACGCACAATTTTTATTTGAAGAAAAACTGATGAAAATTTTTCAAAACTTCCTAATTAAACAGATCAGGTTATTAAACGAGCGAATCCACGGTTATTAACAAACCCAGCTGCTTCCAATAGTCTTTGGCGTAGCTCAGCTACATTTTGAATCGGCTTGAAATACACTTTTTCTTTTACAGTTCCCCAGTAAAAAAAATCTAACGGATTCACATCTGGCGACCGGGCTGGCCACGGTATTGTACCAGACCGCCCTATCCATCTGCCTGGAGAGTTTTGATCGAGATATTCTCTCACTGAGAGTGCATAGTGCGCTGGGCAGCCATCATGCTGAAACCACATGTCCCTGTAAATACTCAGTGGCACGTCCTCCAATAAATTTTCTAAATGATTTTTCAAAAAACCTAAATAAACCTCAGCAGTCAAAGTCTCTGGGAACTCAAACTCACCGATTATTTTACCATTTAAAATTCCTGTCCAATGGTTTATCTTGAAGCGATATTGAGATTTATCTTCTCTTATCAAATGTGGGTTTGCTACGTGCCACTGGTGTAAGTTATGCAGCTTCATGTACCCATCTTTCTTAAATGTGGTCTCATCTGACCATAAAATTTTTTCAAAGAACCGTGGATCTTCCCTGTGTCTTTCTAACATTGTGCGACAAAAAGCATCTCGCGGCTCATAATCCCGGGGCAGAAGAGCTTGAACACGCTGTACGTGGTATGGATGGAGCACGTTTTTTTGCAAGATTCTATGGGCTGTACTTTTGGGCACACCTGTTTTTAGTTCTATTGCACGCACTGAAGTACTCGGGTCTTCTTCGACAGCTCCTAGCACCACGTCTTCGTAAGGAAGGAAAGATCTTCCCTCACCGTGTAATTGGTTTGGTAGTTGGCCCTCTGAGAACAGTAAGCGGTGCACATTTGTGAACACTCGATGATCTGGATGACGAGCTGCATTCGGGTACCTCTCACAGTAAAGTCTCGCTGCAGCCCTAGCGTTGCATCTGCATTCCCCATAAATGAGGTGCATGTTAGCATATTCTTGTACGGTGTACACGGACATAGCGCCACTGCACAATCACACTATCAAAGATAGTCTAAGGAAAGCAAATGTTGTTTTGAAGAGCAATTAAACAGTCCAAACCCAAATCACAAGCGATCAACAGTCCAGTTCACGAATCCAAAATTAGTAACAGTACGAAATCAACAAGCACGAACATGTAAAGATGCGCAGTAAACGAAGGAGTACTGATCCGTATCAAAGTGTGCAATAGCAAGTAAGTGATGTGCTTCATCCATACCACATACAGCGTGTTCAACCTCTCCTGCCCCGGGATTATGAGCCCCGAGTTGCTTTTTGTCGCACAATGTTAGAAAGATATAGGAAAGATCCACAGTTCTTTGAAAAAAATTTATGGTCGGATGCGACCACATTTAAGAAAGATGGATACATGAACCTGCATAACTTACACGAGTGGCACGTAGCAAACCCACATTTGATGAGAGAAGATAAATCTCAATATCGCTTCAAGATAAACCATTGGACAGGAATTTTAAATGGTAAAATAATCGGTCCGTTTGAGTTCCCAGAGACTTTGACTGCTGAAGTTTATTTAGATTTTTTGAAAAATGATGTACAAAATTTATTGGTGGATGTGTCACTGAGTATTTACAGGGACATGTGGCTTCAGCATGATGGCTGCCCAGCGCACTATGCACTCTCAGTGAGAGAGTATCTCGATCAAAATTTTCCAGGCAGATGGATAAGGCCTGGTACAATACCGTGGCCAGCCCGATCACCTGATTTGAATCCTTTAGATTTTTTTACTGGGGAACTGTAAAAGAAAAAGTGTATTTCAAGCCGATTCAAAATGTAGCTGAGCTACGGCAAAGACTATTGCAAGCAGCTGAGTTTGTTAATAACCGTGGATTCGCTCGTTTAATAACCCGATCTTTTTTAAGAAGATGTCGAGCGTGTATTGCGGCTGATCATTTGCTCTAAAGGTAAATCATCATCACCAGCATTTCGACGCCCACTGTTGTGCAAACAGTTAACCTTAAGGGTCCTTGTGCGTTTTCATAATCGCTGTTTAATTAGGAAATTTTGAAAAAATTTCATCAGTTTTTTTTTCAATTAAAAATTGTGCATAAGTTAACGAGTAATCTTCTTTGGAATCGTTATTAAATGCGCCAACTTTTAAGGTTACTTGCCAAACTCTCGTAGTATATTTTTTTCCAGTACAGCCAGTTAAAGTTGAGCAAAGTTTTACTTTGGAATACTTGGTTGGGAAATAAGTGGCAATTTTTCCTGAAGGAGAAAAGTTGGCAGTAAGGTTGAGACACCAGTTTGAAGATGCATTATTCATCATTACATTGTAAAAATAAAATCCAAAAAAGTTAATATTTGTAGTAACAGGAGTTGACAGACTGCCGTAGGGTGTGAAATTTCTATATTTTATTCAGAGACCTATAATTTTCAAAACACATACATAAAATTTTTTTAAATATTTTTCTGATCGCTGTTATGACTTTGCCTATCACCCGGTTTCGGCTTGACGTCGACTTCTGGGACACCCTGTATATTTTTTCCAAAAAGGGACGTCCAGTCCTCCAAAACGACGAGCGAGCATGAGGCTACAAAAGAAAGTATAGACACAAAGAATGATATGACAGACGGTGACTGCGGTAAATGCTACATCCATAGGACATCAAGACCGGTTAAATGTAGAGTGAAAGAGCACAAGAGGTTATGTAATAAAGGGATAAGACTCAAAATCTACTCTAAACGAACCTGTACGAGAAACAAGACATAAGGATAAAATGGGAGGGAGTCTTAATACTACATAAAGAGGATAAAAATTTATCACAAAAAGATGATAGAGGAATTAGACTATAAAATCAAACAACAATTGTTTTTCTAGTTCTCGTGTGGACTGTAACCCAATTTAGTTGAACATCCTTGAACGAAATATCTAATTGATATTCTCCAGCACAGCTAATGGATCGTGAAGTTTTTGTCCAGGTTTTTTCTCATGGTTTGATGTTGTCCTTGTACAGAAGAGGATCACTTTTCCTGACGTGCGATTTGTCTTTCGGTCTGAGCATAGTAGGAAGTTACAGACGACTAGGCTTGTGGAGCGACTAACCAGGGGCTTCACCCTTAACTAAAGCACTGGCATCTTGCTTCTCGAAGTCTCAGCATTTGACAAGCTGACGAGGAACAAGACATAAGGATAAAATGGAAGTGTAAATACTATATATAGAGGATAAAAATTTATCACAAAAGGAAGATAGAGGAATCAGACTATAAAATCAAACAACAATTGTTTTTCTAGTTCTCGTGTAGACTGTAACCCAATTTGGTTGAAAGTCTTTGAAGGAAATATCTAATTGATATTCTTCAGCATAGCTAATGAATCGTGAAGTTTTTGTTCAGGTTTTTTCTCATGGTTTGATGTTGTCATTGCACAGAAGAGGATCACTTTTCCTGACGTACAATTTGTCTTTCGGTCTGAGCATAGTAGGAAGTTCCAGACGACTAGGCTTGTGGAGCGACTAACCAGGGGCTTCACCTTTAACTAAAGCACTGGCATCTTGCTTCTGGAAGTCTCGAAGGCTTTTGACAAGGAGTAAAAGTCCGTCCTTAAAGGTAGGAAGTTACGGATCAAAATAATATTATGTCACCAACACGGCCCATCAGAGCCGTTCGGTTCGGTTCTTGGATCAATCCTTCATTCGCTTGACGCTGTTCTGGTAGCCCAGTCGTGTTTTGGGGATATGATCCTCAATACGCTGTAAAGTGTGGTGGCCGAGGTATTGGAATGAGCGGGTCGGTGACTGATAAAAATTAATCATTCGAAAACGCAGCCTAGACCCTTCTCAAACTGACGCGCTTCCTCCTCTTTACTCTCCGTCCTTCCTTCCTTTCTCTTTTCAACGTAAAGAAGTACCGAAAAGTAAAGAAGATTCTGTCAATACAAACATGTAGTTTTATTGGCTAGACAAGCATGGGGATTATGATGTTTCTACGTTAAACTATATAATTTTTTCTTCCGTCTTAGATACCGATACCTAGGTGGATGACAAATTCAAAAACATACCAATGCTAGGTAGACCGAAACTCTTGTAGGGATCTTCGGCGTACACTCTGCTTTCCATAGCCCAACCATTTATCTTTATGTCATTTTGAGAAATATTAAGTTTGTGGCCTTTAGCGACTCTTAACATTTGTTGTACTAGATCGACTCCGGTAATACATTCTGTAATGGGATGTTCTACTTGAAGCCTAGTATTCATTTCCAGAAAATAGAAGTTTCTGTTTTGATCTACTAAGAATTCTACTGTTCCTGCTGAGTAGTAGCCTAATTTCTTACATAACGATACTGCTTGTTCGCCCATGGCTTTCCTTGTTGCTTCGTCCAAAAAAACGCTAGAAAGGAGATGTAGGTGAAGTCCAAATTCAAAAAATTTATTGTATACGTAAAAATAGCATACAAACGGAAAAACAAAAGTTGGTTATACTAGTTTTCTAACATCTCAAGGAATCATTTTCGGGAATATTTATTGAGCGGGTTGAAACTTGCAATCCGGTCATTCCATGAGCTGATTATACAATATTTCCCACATACAGGGTTTGTCCGGAAAGTAATAGGACTAAAAATGCAGCGTTCGTTAGAGCAGAGGTACGCGATTAAATTCTGTGTGAAACTCGGTAAATCTGCGACAGAGACGTTTGATATGATCAAGCAGGCTTACCCAGGTGTTGCTTTAGCTAGAAGTGGTGTGTTTCGGTGGAACCAGGCCTTTTTGAATGTCCGGGAAGGGGTCGAAGGAAGACCTTCGACTTCGACAAACACCGATAATGTGACTCGTGTGCGCAAAGTTTTAAACTCAGACCGTCGACTAAGTATTCGCTTAATTGCCCAGATGTTAAATTTACCAAAATCTGTGGTTCATGACATTGTAACACAGCAATTGAACATGCGCAAGGTGTGCGCGAAGATGGTCCCAAATGTGCTCACTCACAGAAATTGCGACGAGTGGAAGTGTGCCAAGAAAATTTGAACATGTGTGAAAGTAACCCCCAATTTTTTAATAACGTAATCACAGGTGACGAGTCGTGGATTATTGAGTATTATCCCGAGACAAAGAGGCAATCTTCCGAGTGGCACACGACGGCGTCTCCTCGCCCAAAAAAGGGAAGAATGAGCAAATCCAAAGTGAAAACAATGCTCATTGTCTTTTTTGACATCAAAGGCATCGTCCACCATGAATTTTTTCCTCCTGGACAAACCGTCAACGCCAAGTTTTACGTGGAAGTGCTCAGGAGACTTAAACGAAAGGTCAGTCGGGTCCGACAAGACATCGCACCACGACAACGCCCCGGCTCACACCGTCTTTCTTGTGAACAGCTACCTGACCAAGGCCGGCATCCCAACGCTTCTGCAGCTGCCCTACAGCCCAGATGTGCCCCCCCCGGACTTTTTTTGTTTCCTCGCATGAAAAGGTCGATGAAAGGCAAGCATTTTGAGACGACAGAGGGGATCCAAGCAGCATGCACCGCGGCTCTCAAGGCTATTCCGGAAAATGCCTTCCGTGACGCCTTCAATGCTTGGAAATCGCGCTGGCAGCGCTGCATCGACGCAGAAGGAGCCAATTTTGAAAGTTTTTAAAGAATTGTAACGATTGGCTCAATAAATTTTTTTAAATCGACTCAGTCCTATTACTTTCCGGACGAACCCTGTATCCTATGACATATCGTACATATAAGATTCGGTAACACTTTACTTCCTAATCCGCTGGGCGAGGAAGTGTTGTACCTGATTGCGAAAAACTTCAAAAATGAGATATTTTGTTTTTTTGATGTTATACTATACATGTACATCACGAAAAACGATGTCACCCATTTCCTTCGGTCTGTTTGTCTATAACTTGGAAGTACTGGTCGTACTTTGATAAAGTTTTCACACAGCGTTAGTACTGTTCCAAGCACGAAAAAACCTTGCAGATCTTTCAAATCGATCTATTATGTATTCATCGAAGAAAGAGACCAAACCTAAACACATTCACGTATACTCCAAGTGACCGCGCTCCAGAACGCCGAGCACGTTACAGTGCCGTACTAAGAATAAATGATTTGTATAGGGTCCAAACGTGAACCTTGGAATTAATGTATTTTTTAATTTAACTGTCATGACCAAAAAGAAAACAACTGTCTATTGTTGTTTTTAGTAGAAGTGTTTTATCAAGAAATTATGCTCGAAATGTGTCGTCAGGCGCATTTACAAAGCAGGCTTTTAAAAAAGTTCTTGACACATTAAAACTATAATTGCATATAGTCAACGCCAAACAAAGTGGCGTGCACGTCATCATGATAAAAATCCCCCAACCTAATGCCTAGGTTTCTATCACAAACAATTGCTCTATTGCAGTTTCATATTAATGTGATATATAAATTGTAAAATGGTCATTACTCTCTTATTATGGTTATTGTTATTAAAATATCACATAAGTTGCTTTCTGATAAATTTAGACGCATTATGCGAAATAAAATGTTTTGCAAACACTCCAATCACTTATCGACATGTAAACGCACTAAACCGATTTCGCAGCGTTGACACATTGTCACCTTGAAACTTATTTAAACTGGGAACTGACATTTGTATTAATTTTAACACTGAATAAATTTGTGGCATTTCAAATCTTTATAAATCCTTTGGCCCCGCATACTGTAAATCAACAACTGTTTGTTTCAAAACAAAATTATTCATTTTACGAGTAGATAAAGGCAATTTTGGTATATAAAGATGCCCAAACAGTTAAATAGTCGGTGTAAGGAACTCGTGGCCTCGTTAATGCACTACTTTGAGCAAGAAAGGGACAACAACGGGCCTTTGTTGCCTTTAAATGCTGTTCAAGAGGTAGGTTACTAATAATTATATGTAATGTATATTAATAATAGTGAAACTTTATTTCATTTTTTGTAGCGTGTTGCTGCTGCTTTAAAAATTAGTTTAAGGACAGTTAGTCGTATTTCCGAGGGTGTGAAAAGTGATGCAAATTTAGAATCGCCCAAGAAAAAGCGGAGTTATATTAAACGTGTAACCAACACAGCGACATTGGATACAAGTGCCATTCGAGAAGTGATCTATAATATGTATCACAAAAGTAAGATCTTATTATAATAACTTATCAGAAATATGCATTAATTTGTTAACTAAATTATAATGTCATATTACCCATGATTTCAGAAGAACAAGTTACGATACAAACTTTATGGTCTCGATTAAGAGATTTGGCATTATTTGATGGTAGTGCCACGTCTTTAAGGCGGTTGCTTAGAGATCTTGGATTTAAGTGGCTTAAGGACAATCCGCGACGAGGGCTCATGGAACTACCAAGTATAGCTTTGAAAAGGGTGGAATTTCTAAGGCAATACAATTAAGCCAAGGTTGAGGCGTTATACCAGTTTGTCTTCCTCGATGAAACTTGGATATTTCAAAATGGGACCATAGGTCGCTCTTGGCAAAATGGAAACCAAAAAAGCGTGAAAGCTATTAAAACAGATGGTAAAAGGTATGTACTTTTACACAATTTGCACTATAAAATTTAAAACTAATATATTTTAGATACATTATATTATATGCTGGAAATGAAAATGGGTTTATTGAGGGTAGTGAAGCGATATTTTCTTCGAAAACAAAATTGAGCGATTACCATGGAGAGATGAACCAGGACAATTTTTTGAAACGGTTTCAACATCAGTTATTAGAAAAGTTGGAGAGTCCATCTATGATTATACTGGATTACGCCCCTTATCACAGCATGATATTGAACAAAGTGCCCAACAATGCATGGACAAAAAAAATATCCAAGACTGGTTGACAAATCAAAGCATACCATTTTTAAACACAATGTTTAAGACAGAGCTATTGAGTATTGTTGCTCGGTACATAATGCTTCTTAATTATATATATTTTGGTCGACAGTTTATATTTCTTTTGTTTATTCCTATTCTTAAAATAACTGCTTTTTTAGAAACAAACCACCTAAAATATACGTGATTGATGAATTGGCGGAACAACATGGGCACAAAGTTCTTCGTCTGCCTCCTTACCATTGTATATTTAACCCTATTGAGTTAATTTGGGGCATAGCAAAAGGTTACTATAACAGACATATTCGTAGAGATGGTAACAGTGAAAAAGACTGTTTGGATATGTGGAACGAGGCTCTACAAACGGTTACCCCAGACATGTGGAAAAATAGTGTTCGACATACTGAGCAAGAAATTTTTAAATGGTATGAAAGAGAACGAGATTTTGATCGACCAGACATCGAACCTTTAATAATCAACTTTGAGAGTGATGAAGATTCAGATTCAGACAGCGCTGAAGAAAGAAACTCCGACTAACTTTATTTTACAGAAAAAGCTTACACCAGTAGCTTACCTAATTTTAGAATGCATTTTTCTGTATGAATTCTGTAAAATAAATACCATGCATAAAATTTGGAGGACCCCATTTGGATTTTTATTCAGTACCTTTAAGCTATCAATTAAATATGGTAGTTTCATAGTGTCATCTGATCAATAGTTGTCATACTTAATGATTATGCAAGTACAGATCTATAATTTTATTATACTATTATTTTTGTTCTCATTTGAGGTTAATATTGCTTATAAACCTAGATATGTAAATAATAAATTTTATTATTTTACAAAAAGTTTGGCAACAATGTAAATTTTTCAACACACCCACCTTGATGACGTGCACGCCACTTTGTTTGGCGTTGACTATATGCATACAAGTATACCTAACCACCGCTTGACAGGGACGTCAGTGTGCAAACAGTTAGTTTCAATATTAGACTAAAAAATGAATAGTTAGGTGGAGTTGAAAGAAAAATGATTTGAATACATAATAATATATACTAAAATTTATTGCACAGACATTTTACCTCTAAAGCCGGAAATACATATATTTGAAAATGAAAATCATTCTAGATCTGAGGCCGTGGAACTCTCATTGTCATCTATATTCATGATTGAAGGGGCAACGTGAGTGTCAATGATACCGTCTAATTCCCACATTTTAGGTTCGACATTTTCTTTTACATGCTGATACATTTTCCCACTTATTCGGTGTTATTCTTTGTATAGCATCATGGAAAAATATTTTTAAGGTCAGAAAATTTAAAACATTTATTTTCTGCAGCAACATATTTTTTATGTCTGCCCAAATGAGATCAATCGGTTTGAGCTCACAATGGTAAGGAAGCAGTCGTAAAACAGTTTTATTTTGTATTTTGGCCATTTCATCAATTACGTTCAGGTTATATTTATTTTGATGCGTCTTGACAATTTGTAACAATTCTGCCTTAACCGTTGTATCATCATAACCAATCTTTTTATTTTTAAGCCATCCTTGA